TAGGCCGCTCAGAATGCCTAGAGAGCGCCTAGGCGGGCTCCTAACTCCTACTTGATTTTGTTCGACGATTTGGCCTAAATCGCGGTGGCTTTCTATCGCCCAAGGCCTGGGTCGAGTTTTAGAACACTGCATATTCTGGCTATTCGACTCCGCAATGCTTTCTCCATGGATCTCGGTAGGAAGCATGCTTTGGGTTTCGATGGCTGCTAAAGTTCAATTTGCACTATTTGGTAGAATTATGTGCACGCTTTTAGCGCGGGTGGCTTGCCCACCCCCCTTCCCCAAATTTTCCATTTATCTTTTCGGTTCGTTGGTTCTTTCTAGTGGCAGTGGCTTGGCAAAGGTGGTGCAACTATTCTAGTGGATGAGGCTGGTCCATTTCCAAAGCTAAGGTTTGCAGTCTAAGAACATCCCATGGAGACTTTATCCTCCATGAAACTACTACATTTGAAGCCCTAATGAGAAGGTTCATCCCCAATAAGCTAGAAAATGGGCATATATCCACCACTTGGCTAGTAGCTTCTTTCTTTGGGTAGCAAAAAATTAGGCTACATCAAACCCCAAATGCTAGTGAGTCTCACGAGAAAAGTAAATACCCATGTAAGCAAAATTTTGCCATTCTCTCTTCATTTATGAATACACTTATACTCTCCTTTTATTCTTTTTCTTTACATATTTTTGTCCCAAAGGTCTTCCTCCATTTTGTTTGTATGTTTAATGCTTAAGACATAAAATGACATAAGATGTTCTACTAAAAGGGCTTACTTTTATTAATTTTCAAATAAAAACACACTACATATTAAATGACATTTGCAGTTTAGAGACATAAACTAAAAACATAACCAAACAACGTACCTAAATTGCAAGGGCATTACAATTTAGTTATGAGACAAAATATTATATTGTCTGATTTTAGATAAACAAATCAACAGAGAATATTGAGATAAGGGAAACTAATCCAACGGTTCAATAAGTGATGAAATCTTACTTTGTTAGAATTTGAATTTTTTTAGGTTGAAATGTTCATAATTTTTTTTTTAAACTACACGTCCAAAAGTCAATTTAAGAAAAGTTAACAAAAAAAAATTATCGCGTAATCAATTACTACATAAATAAATATATATATATATATATATAGCCCCATATAGAGCCCGAAAATAAATAGTCCCTCATTGGGAGAGATTCTTGTATAAAGCCCCAAAAACTGTTCCAAGCTCTAAAATATGATATATCCATCATTTTTCCAACCCTATATAGAGCACCTCACTGTTGATACTCTAAGGATTGTTAAGGGCTCACTTTTTTGGGTTGTTATGTTGTATTCTTTTAGGGATGTGTTATCCACACACCCTAAATTACTTCTCTCACACCCCTTCTTAATTTCTGTCCGCTGATCTTCTTCAATTCATCGGATCCGACGATCGAAAAGTAGAAGAGTGTGTGAGAAGTAAAATGAGGCGTGTGGATATCACACCCCTTCTTTTGTATTGGGATAAACTTGTACTTTTAGTTTTGGGAAAGGGTGTGATATCCACACACCATTTTTTACTTCTCCCACACTTTTTTAGTTTTCAGCCATCAGATCGGATGAATTGAAAAATATCAACAGACATAAATTAACAAGGAGTGTGTGAGAAGTAAAAAAATGTGTGTGGATAGCACACCCCTTTTGGGAATTGTTTTTGGAATAGGATTATCTCCCTTCTTATTTCCATCATCTTCCCTCCCCTTCGTTCACACTCTCCATTTTATCTTTCTTTTTCTATGAAAAATTAATATAGAATGTTAATGTAGCTTAACTGTGACAGTTGAAATATAAAAGAAATAAAGAAAAGAGAAGAATAAAAAGGAGAAAAAATGCTACTCCCTTCCTTTTTGTATTGGGATGGACTTGTACTTTTAATGTGGGGAATTCTTTTTGTACGTTTAGTGTTGGGAATTGTTTTTGGACTTTTTCTTTTGTATTGAGATGGACTTGTACTTTAGTGTTGGGAATTTGTTTTTGGACTTTCTTTTTGTATTAGGATGGATAATTTTTTTTTGGACTCTCTTTTGTATTGGGATGGACTTGTGCTTTTAGTATTTGCAATTGATTTTGAACTCTTTTTGTATTGGGATTGACTGGTACTTTAGTGTTAGAAATTTGCTTTTGGACTTTATTTTTGTATTGGGATGGACTTGAACTTTAGTGTTAGGAATTTGATTTTGGACTTTCTTCTTGTTTTGGGATGGACTTGAACTTTAGTGTTGGGAATTGCTTTGGAGTTTTCATTATGTATTAGTGTTATTTTTAATGAAATTAGATGTTTGACAAAAACAAACAATTGGGTGTAAACTAGATGATATTAAGGGGGTGGTTTGGGATAACAGTTTTATTTTAAAGAAATTGATTAAAAAAAAAGTTTGGTAAATGAAAAAAAAAAAAAAAAAACATGTTCAAAGCAGCAAAAAGCATAGACAGCTGTATACAAACTTCAAAAAAAAAAAATGTATTTTCTCATTAGAGATATGAATAATACCAATTAGTATTCTTTTTTTTTTTTCCTAAAAGCACTACGACCCTATTTGGTGGGCATGACGAGATGGGTTGTTTGTTTCCAACTAATTTAAACTTGTAACTCAACCAATGTTTGATGTGAAAATTGTAACATGAACTGGATTGGCTACAAATCCAAAGTAAGGAAAGTAGGATAGGTTACAAGTCCGTATCCTACGCTCCGTTCTTCTGCGCAATTTCTTCTCTTCTTGTGCGATCTTTTCTGTTTGCAGCAATCTGTTTCTTCAATTTGTTGTTGTTCATCTTCTTTTCAACCGACGCTCTTCTTCGTTTCGGCGACCGCTTTTCAGCCTCCAGGTCTCGTCGCGAGAACCGTTGTTTGGATTGTCGCAAGTGACACCGTCGAGTCGTCGCGAGCAGTGCAATCGATTCTTCGATGCTACATATTAGCTAAGCTATCCATCCCTTGTCCCAAGAGAGGGAGGAGAGGGATTTTCGTATATTCGAAGTTAAACAGTCAAAATCTGCTATGCTTGTTAAGCAAAAAAAAAGACTTATGCCTTTACCCATCAACCCATCCCATCTAATTTTATTTTTTTAGTGAAAAGTTACTTTATTCCAACACGATAATTACACTAAAACAGGCTCAGATACGCACACGCAAGCAAAAAGAAGAACCTTCAAAGCAACTAAGAGTCTAAAACAAAATTTTGCAATCTCTTCAGGATAATGTCACAGACTCGTGACTAATTAATGGTGGTGGCAGTAACCGTGCATAACGAATGTGTTTTTTTTATATCCCGAGTTCGAATCTCGGTCTCTCGCAATTATCAAGTGATGAGTGTGCCAAAATTTATGCAAAATGTCGAAGCTCTTGTTATCCGAGCCTGGAGTTGAAGAGGAAATAAATTGTGAAGGAAAACAATCTCAGACATCCAAGGAAGGAAAAAAGCAGCATAAGCTCTCCAGCCCGGCGAAAGGCGAAAGCTCTTAGGCGGCCACTGCGAATGTTCTTGAGAAACAAGCCTTACGTTTTGTCATCATCGATATCCATTTTTTTTACATTCAAACAAAAATTCTAATTCAAAAAAAAAATCATAATATAAATCAAGATAATTATTCTGCTCAGATAATTTGAATTTTCATTCTCATTGATTTTTTTTTACAAAATCTCTGAAGTCTGACATGCGAATTAATTCAGAAATCATCACAGCAGAATATTGTAAAATAAATAAATATTAACCCCGGAAACAAAAATTAAACAACAATTAGAAACTAATTGCTCTCATAATTTCTCTTGAGAGTTATCCATTCATGTTCTGAATCGGAATAGCGTATACTGCCAATTCCAGGCACGTAATCACAGAGCAAGATCAACACAAAATTGAAACAGAAATAAAAAAAATTAAAACCAAATACTTTAAACGAAATTTTGAAATTGGTAAAAATTGGAAGAGCGATCAGAGATGGTTAAGGGTTGTCGGTCACGGTTAAATCAGAAACACGGACCAATAAGTTCCTCATCATATCACACCTAAAACCCTAATATTTCAAATTAAATTGCTTTTTTTTTTTTTTTTGAGAAATTCATGAAACAAAAAAAAATCAACAAAAAATAGGAAGTGGAAGGAAATCATCAGAGACTTAAATACTACGAATCACGGAAAATGGAGCGTATCCATCATATTGTTGCAGTATTTTCTTCATCACCTGATTCGCAATTTCCACATCACAAACCTAAAATCGGAGAAGTAAAACAAACTAATTAAATCATACATAAAGAGAGAGAGGCGGCGGAGGCGGAGGGGTGGCGGAAGGGGAGGGGGCAGCGGAGAGAGTGTGTGGCTGTGTGCAGTTGGTGAGAAACCCTAGAGTGACAGGAAGAGGAAGAAGACGATGGTTTGGAGCTCTAGAAGACTAGGAGAGCATTTTTATAGTGCAGCGGCGGAGGTGTTAAAACCCTAATGCGAAGGTTCTGGATCTTGATATGGGCTTAGAAACATAAATGGGCCTTGTATTCACTTACTACGTATTCATATTGCAAAGGCCCATCTCTTTATGACCTACTGGTGGGCCGGGGACAATTCCGTGTGGTTCAGTTAAACCTTCAAATCACATACCGACTCATAATTTTGCTTACTCACACTTTTTTTCTTTATGTATGAACGGTTGAGACTTAAGTGATTGAGCTTGTGAACAAAAATCTGTTGGGGAGAATTTCGACACAAACTCAATGCAAGTGTTAACAAAATAATAAAAGTAATATCAACAATTAAGTTCTGTTTAGGTGAGTTTCAAAGAGTCAAATTCGATAGGAACCAAACCGCTTAGTTTGGTTTTGTTCGTATAAGATTTTATTGCTTTAACATAAAATTCGAACCAAACTACTCAAAATGGTTTGGTTTGGCTTGGTCTGGTCGAGTTGAACAGTTCGAACAATTTGTTTGACTACTCCTAGGTCTTTCCCTTTTAAAATTCGGAGAAATTGAAGATCCAACGAAAATAAACGTAACATATAAACATAACCATGAGAACTAAAAGCAAATAAAACTTGATACTTATTACAATGAAAATACTCTTCATTCAAATATAAAACCGGATTACGACAAATGAAGTGCAAAACTAGCCTTTTACCTACATAGAGGTATACGCAGCAGCACCCCACCCTGCAGGACAAAATGTGATAACATATTCACTTGCCTTGCAGGTCACCAATGGAGGTGGTGAATCATAAGCATAGCTGTAATACGAAGGGCAAGCATCTTTGAATATCTTCGAGTACACACTCGGCTTGCATTTTTCCGGGGTTCCATACTTATTCCGGCAACAAAATGAGTCTGTATCAAACGCTAAGCAAGCGCTTTTGCACGCCACAACTTCCCCTTCGTCGTTTAAAACCTTCAGCTCATCGGGGCACCAAGTTTTCAAATCTTTCAAACACCCTCTGACAGCGCAATTGGATGCCACCGGCCTTGATGAGATTGCAACCGGAAGATTATATCCATCAACCACGCTCACAGCGTAGAAATTTGGCTTGCCCTTGTCGCCTTGAAGCGAAACTTCCACTAGTGTCACCGGTGGATTGCCTATTAGTCCATTGCATGCTAATCGTCCGCCACAATCTCCTGTTTCGCAAGCAGGCTCGCAGTTGGAGACAAAGTCGCATCCTGTTCGGGCCCAAATCCGACCGCTCCATGACCACGGGGCAGTGATGGGCTGAGTATGTCCGGCGGGGAGGAAGAAGCCGCCATCAGCTATCACAGACTGTCCGGTGTTGGGGGCAGTCGCTGGCCATATGGGGAAGGGGCACTTATTCTGTATGTAAAATGTAACTGTATGTGCCATTCCCTGTCCTGCAATAGAAGATATTGATTCAATGCTATCATACAATAAAGATCAAGAACATATTTGACACTGAAAAATATGAAACTACTCTAAAAGCAGAAAGTGATTTTCGCATTCACGTTTTCTCCTTTGTATTGTACTCCCAATTTTTTTGTAGCCTTTGCAAGAGAAGTAGTGCAGAAAGAGAAACGAGAGTTCACTACCGTGGCAAAACTGAACTGTTAAAAACTTAAACAGACTTTTATGTTTCGACAAAATTACCAAATAACATGAAAGTATGTTTCAACGAAATTACCAAATAACATGAAAGTCCACAGTAGGAACAGAAAGAAAGCAGCAACAGAGTCAGGCAACTTCATGGTACATTCAGGTGGAATACAATGTTTGTTTAGAAGCAACATTTATAGGTAAAGTTAAATAGTGCTTCTTCTTGGATTGCACTTCAAGGTTTGAAGTGGGCAATCTTTGGAGATAATTAAGACAGGATTATAGTTATGTTACCCTTTAAGCAACATTCTTAAACTGCCATTTGGACCCTCCGTTGACAAATCATGAGAAGCAAAACAATGTCTAATTACTTTTGCACACAAAAATCACCATTAACAGGCCACATGGAAAAAATAAGATGGGCAGTAATTATCAGCGGTGCCGACTGAGCAGAAAAAAGAGTGATGTGACACTCAATTCCCAACTTTAAGGTCACTCTTTTATACGTTAAAATATTCTATGAAACTGATTATACATGATAATATGTCTGTTTCTCTCCTCATGTGATATATTATATGAAGAGAGATACCAAAATGATACTAAACATAAGAGGATATAAGTTCGGTTATACCTAAATTTCTCTCATTTTGTGTGCAAAATCTAAACCGAGTATAAACTTGTTCATGTTATACATCTCATGTGTCATGTGAAGAGCGAGATAGATAAGGAAGGATATACAATTGGTTGCACCTAAATTTATCTCAGAAAGCAGAAAGGCAAAAGCTTTACAACAATTTGACAATGGGTCAATGATGACAAAAGATTCGTGTAATATGATAAAAGAAATGTTAAGAAGACTCACTCAAAAATGACTCTCTATAAACTAATGTTGACACGAGAATTAAAGTTAAACCGTGATATGTCAGAAAATCTATAAAAAATCTCACGTAAAGAGAGTTACCTTATCATTTCTCTTGAAATATTACAAAAACTCTCAGATAATCATCAGTGCAATTAATGTGGTCATCAAGAAATTCAACCCAGGATTCTGGCCAGACCCTCTCAGTTTTTGTGCATTGTTTCCTTTCCAAAATCCAGATAATATTTGTTATAACAATAGTGATATTTGTTGCCTTTTTTATAACAAAATAATAAATGAGTTCCTTTCTTGTTCTGGTCTCTGCAAATATGTTTCAGAAATTCAAAAAATCAAAAATTGCCTCTTTTTAGTAAAATCTATTCACATACATGGAAAATGACATTATTGTCCAGATCACCTTCTCCATCTCCTGCCACATTCAGCTGTCAAGAATATCCAATGGTATCCACACTGCATCCCCTGCATCAATTTCACTTGGCAAATTTGCTATTCACCATCTCAGCAAATACCATCTACTCAATTCTGGATGCAGTACATTGAAACTGTTCATACTCACAAACCTATATACATTAAAATGTCGCTGTGACGATATATCATGTCTTCCACCAACCCAAAATTGAGAATCACATTGCACCAAACACTCAAACCAGAGGGAAGGCCACAACGGTATTGGCTGAGGAGGTGTAAAATATGTTTTTGCAATTTGGATTTCATTAGAAAAATCTGAGAGGCTTTTGTCGTCCTCGTGAACAGGGATTCTCTGTTCCTTTCTCTCTCATCCTCCCCCCCTCTCTCTCTCTCTCTCTCTCTCTCTCTCTCTCTCTCTCTCTGTGTTGTGTTTTGTCTCCAAGCTGTAACATTTTCTGGGACGGAGAGTAAGAAAATGGACATTGGTTCTCTCACCCCATTCTTCCCACACTCAGAGTCTCATTTCAAATTTGAACACCGTTTTTGTACACTCTCTTTTGGGTCCCTACGCTCAGCTCCCTTCTTTGCGCCCGCGTCTCTCTCGTCCTCCCCTTGACCACCTCGGTCACACCCCCATCCATCCCCATCCCACCACCAACCCCCATTTCTTATCGCGTTTTTTGTCTCTGACATTTCATCGAACACCTTATCCGCAACCTCTCAACCATGGACAAGACGCCCCCTTCCGGCGAATCCGTCATCAGCAGCCTCCAAGATCTCAGCTTCAAAAACAGCTTAAGCATTAGCATGTGTAGCAGCACCGTTTCTGGGTCCGATAGCACCAAGGTCAGCAGCAATGGAACTCCAGAAGTATACAAGAACGCCGAGAATGCTGACTGCGAAGACGAAAGTGACAAAAGCAGTTTAAGTCACTTGGGTAATTCCAGCCTGTCCGATCCGAACGAGGGCAACTGCCGGAGCTTCTGCCCGTCGAAGCCGCACAAAGGCAACGACGCGCGGTGGGACGCGATACAATCAGTGAATTCCAAAGACGGAGACTTGGGTCTCGGCCATTTCCGGCTACTGAAGAAGCTCGGCTGCGGCGACATCGGAAGCGTTTACTTGGCGGAGCTGAGAGGCATGGGTTGCTTTTTCGCCATGAAAGTAATGGACAGAGGAATGTTGGCGGGGAGGAAGAAGCTGATCAGAGCTCAGACGGAGAGGGACATATTGGGGTTGCTGGACCATCCGTTTCTTCCGACCCTCTATTCGAATTTCGAGACCGAGAAGTTTTCTTGCTTGTTAATGGAGTTCTGCTGCGGCGGCGATCTCCATACGTTGCGGCAGCGCCAGCCCCGGAAGCATTTTACTGAACAAGCAGCGAGGTTAGTGTCGATTTGTGTTGATATTACCCTTTTGTCCTTGTATTTTCTCCGCGTGATGTTATTAAGGAATAAGGACGTTGTAGTTCTTTCGTCAGTATCTTGTATCCACACGTCTAACTATTTAAGACACGATAGATGTACAATGAATTAACACGATTAATTAATTTTTCAAATTCTTATAATAAGAATTCAAAAATGATCTTATTCCATATTTAAAGATTTCGAAAATACATTAAAATAATTAAAAGCGCTTTTAATATAAATATTTTTCAAAACCGTTGGCTCGATAGCCGTGTGGCCAACACCAATTTTGAGACCAACATTATGATTCCGTTAAATCCTCCCCCTTCCTGTTCTCTCTCGTGGAGATGGATGTACCTACATCGCGTACTGTACTGTGGTATTATCTCACAGTTATAACGCAATGTCATATGTTTTAACATTCTTACATGTCAGTATTGGTTACATTCATAGTGATTTATGATCAAATTGCATTTTGTTTTGCAGGTTTTACGCTTCAGAAGTGCTTCTTGCCCTAGAGTATCTCCACATGATGGGAGTGGTGTACAGAGACTTAAAACCCGAAAATGTGCTAGTGAGGGAGGACGGCCATATCATGCTTTCCGATTTCGATTTATCATTGAGATGTTATGTGAGTCCTACTCTTATTCAGTCCGGCGACGATCCATCTTGTAGAATATCTACTTACTGCATTCAGCCTGCATGCATTGATCCGTCGTGCAAATTACCCGTTTGTGTTCAACCTGCTTGTTTGCAACCCTCTTGCTTTAAGCCTCGGTTTCTTAGATCCAAATCAACCAAGGAGAAAACCGAAAGAACAGGTTTTGGAAATTCGGATTCGTTGCCTGTACTTATTGCTGAGCCAACGAGTGCGCGCTCTATGTCATTCGTCGGGACACATGAGTATTTAGCTCCCGAAATAATCAGAGGTGACGGTCATGGTAGCGCAGTTGATTGGTGGACTTTCGGTATCTTCTTATATGAGTTGCTGCACGGAAGGACGCCATTCAAAGGGAATGGAAACCGGGAGACGTTGTTCAATGTGGTCGGTCAGTCTCTTCAGTTTAAGGACGGATACAACGTCAGTTTCGCTGCAAAGGATTTGATCCGGGGCTTACTGGTGAAGAACCCTCAAAAGAGACTGGGATTTAAACGTGGTGCCACAGAAATTAAACAGCACCCTTTCTTTGCAAGCGTAAATTGGGCTCTCATTCGCAGCACGCGCCCGCCGGAGATTCCAAAATCGTTTGATCTTGCTACATTCAAGTCTGCAGTGCCTCAGAACAAGAAGGGAGCTACCGAATCAAATCGATCATCAGGTCCATACTTAGATTTTGAATTTTTCTGATGAATTTTGATGGCGCGAGAGAAAGGATTTTAGCATTCTTGTGACATTGTTCATGTTCTCAATGACATATTATCTTCACATAATTGCTTCATTCAACTCGTTGCATAGGGGGGGGGGGGTGTAAAATGGAACCTAGCTAGCTTTCCTTTGTTACTTGGCATGGGAGTTTCTTTACCCTTAGACCTCCTCTAATCTTGGGCTAAATGCCAAATTACCCCATTTATTCTCTGCCTCCCCTGGCCTTTCCTTTGTTACTTGGCATGGGAGTTTCCTTACCCTTAGACCTCCTCTAATCTTGGGTTAAATGTCAAATTACCCCATTTATTCTCTCCCCCCCCCCCCCCCAAAAAACACCACCCAACCCAAGCTAATGGGCTAAAAGCCAAATGCTAAAGCTGGGCCAAATTACCCCATTTATTCTCCCCCCCCCCCCACCCTTTCCTTTGTTACTTAGCATGCGAGTTTCTTTACCCTTAGACCTCCTCTAATCTTGGGCTAAATGCCAAATTACCCCATTTATTCTCCTCCCGGCCCCCCCCCCAAAAAAAAAACACCACCCAACCCAAGCTAATGGGCTAAAAGCTAAATGCTAAAGCTGGGCCAAATACCCCCCCCCCCAAAAAAACGCGTGGACTTGCCAAACTTTGGGCCAGTCTCGACTCGCCCACTTGTTGACGCGCCCCATGCGGCCCGCCTCCATTCAGCTCCCGACAGCAAGGGGCCCATTAGGGCCCCTGTCGGCCACTTCCCCGAGCCCAACGGCTCTTTTTCGCATCGAACAGCCAACATTTAAGGACCGTTGGTTGATCCAACGGTCCATATTCAAATTTTATTTTAAAAAAATATGTTATTTTAAAATACGTTGAATCTAACAGTTGAGATTGAATATAATCAAATCTAACGGTAAAAAAAAAAATCTCACGGCCCAAATTTAAATCCAACGGCTAAAATAATTAAAAAAAAATTATTTAACTCAAAATTAACACAAAAACTCTATAAATACCTATGTATTTGTTCAAATATCCACACAAAACTCAATTTTCTCCTACAATTCTTCCAATTTATCTTTCTACCATTTCTTTCCATTTCCAAATTGTTCAACATGGCAAGAAAGCATATTAGAGGTCATAATTGGACCTGTGAGGAAGATGTTGCTTTATGCTTGGCATGGGTTTTGATTAGCAAAGAAGGTGGAGTTGGCACAAATCAAAGTAAAAAGATTTTGTGGGATAAAATCATTGCAAAGTCTCAAGAAAACTGCAACTGCGGCGGGCGGAACGGTGGTCGTGTTTATGATCAGTGAAAGTTGAAGGCTTGCTTTCTGAAAAATTTAGTGATTTTTCAATATTTATCGGAATTTAAATATTTTTAGATTAAAATGTTCATAAAATTAATTTACGATAGTCTACATATTTATTTATTTTTGAAATTTTGATTTAAGAAAAAAATTAGCCTAAGTTTATTCTTTAATAATCCCGAGCTAAAATTTTAGGCCAGAAGGGTTAGAGCAGAAAAGTTGTTTCTAGGCTAAAAACTAAATTTTTCGGGCTAAAAAATTTGGTTTTTAGTCCAAAGGTTGGAGATGGTCTTAAGGACGTTATAATGGCACGGCAAGACACTAAACACTCATTGGCATATGAAAAAATTAAAAGCGCGACCCTTTGCGATTTGTTTGGAATACAATCACTGTAACATCCAATTTGTAGATGATTACTTAAGTCTCTCTCCCTCTATTGGTGTGAGGTTGTGGAGAAAAACATTGGGCAAGACTATTTACTTCATTGGCCCTCAAATAAAACTAGGAACATTATTTGGCTACTTAAATAATAAGTAGGAGTTCCTATTTAAAACTGTTCGTTTCCGATTCATAGAATTTCATGTTTATGATCAGAACCGTTCATATTACAAATCACTTTATAAAGATTACATTACAAAAGTTAATTAAAACTAATGTCGTGTAGTCATCGAATTGTATAAAAATAAATAAACAGAATTGGTAGAAGCATTAAGAATTGTCCATATATTTACTATAATATATTGACTAAAGAGATAATCTTTACAAAATAATTCATAAAATGAAAGGTTCTGATCATAAGAACGAAACTCTGTGATTCTAACATGAAGAGTTTTGAATAAGAATTCTTACTCATTATTGAATAGTCAAACATTGTTCATAAAACCAACCTTCTACGTGTATTTTAACTCACCCATAAGCACTTGAACCCTACATGTTGTACGTACTGCCTTAATGCGGCAGCCCTACACAAACATCGGGCACAACATTTTGCCTCATTTGCCGAATGCTCCAATCACATCCGTTCATCGTACATCGTGTGATCAGTTTTTGTCAATTATTGTTTATATTTAATTTTAAATAAAAAAAATTTACAATAATTTCTAATTACATAATATACGATAAACGAATGTAATTAAAAAATCTTCAAAATCCTTCCAAAAGTGGATCTGACGAAAACCCTGGTCATTCGCCCTCACGTAAAACCAACCGTCCCATGTATTTTAACTCACGAACCCTACATATTGTACGCACTGCCTTGACGCGCCAGCCCCACACGTACGGTAGTACTGCCTTAACGTGGCATCCCTATTGAATACTCCATTAGTGGTGTCGTCCTTTCAATCACTTCACATGCAAAATGTCTGAAACTTTGGCCGGAAATGCAGTTTTTGAAAATAAAATTTTGACTCCTTGGCACTTTGATCACTTTTGTTCCTTCATAATCTGCTTTTATGAGTGCTTTAATTCTGCTTTTTTTGGACGGTTGCATTCGCTTCTTTTTCTTTTGCAATATACTTGAGGGTAACGCTAAATACATTTTTTTTTATAATTTTTGAGCATTCGATCAAAATGAATTAAAGATGATCAAATGATAAAAATTAATAAAGAATGTATAATAAAAAGAAGGGTATGAATTGCACCACTCATGTTTTATCATAAACTTTTCCTTAATAGCAGAAATGGAAAATTTATTTGGATCCATTTGTTTTATCCCGACATCCAACTAAACAATTTTCTCCAGCAAACTCCCAAATTTGCCCTTACATAAAGAAAAGAAAGAAAATAGTGAGTGGATTTTTTATTCTCTTTCTCTTCCTCCCTCTTCTCATACCTTGAGAAGAATATGAATCATCATACTCTATCGGTGTTGATGTCAGCGTCGATGACGAACATGGCTCTGCACTATGCTCCCGTGAATCCCGCTTCAAGTCGGCCTCTCTCTTTTCCAATTGATTGGATCCAAATTCGTAGAGAAAGAAACAAGAAAGAGAGGAAGGAGAGCATCAATGATCGACGGTTTTCACTTTTGAAAAATAAAAAATTATTGGTTAACTAGGTTTAGTTTTCAGAAAATAAAAAACTAAACACTTTTCAAAATTTTGATTTGGGTTTGAGTTTTTTTTTTTTTTTTTTAAACTGACAAAAACTTAAAATATAATGGTTGTCAAACGACACATATAAATTAAGAAAAACTAACGAAAAATTCAAAAAAAACTTTAATTTTAATGAAAAATGATAAAGAAATGTGTAATAAATAGTACTAGGAAAAAGTAAAAACATGATTTTTCATTAAAAATGGACAATACTAGAAATATTTCATTAAAACTCCTTAAAAATTATCATATTTCACCACAACTTTTACAACGAGCAGTTTTCAACTCCCTCCTCCCCGAGAGATTTTTCTATGCTATTAAAACATAGCCCAATATACCATACATGACATACCGGGTCATGTTTCAAATCTACTGGAAAGTCTTCAACCTCCCCTCACGGTGAGGGGCCTCATCCCCTCCAGCTACGTATCATCAATGACAGTCTGAAGTCGCTTGAGTGTTTGCGGTTATTGGCCCACAGTTGGGCCGAGCAAACCAAAGACCTTCCATCATCGTACGATTAAGGACAAATAGGAGGCCACAACACGACAGACATCGGCGAGAAGTACGAAGATGCCCTCAATTTTTTTCACCAAAGCGCATTAAAAACATTAAAACATGATAGAGATCGACGTTCACGTTATTAGAGTCATGCATGACTAATAGATCAATATTTTTATTAAAAAAATCATTTTGAGGTTTATGATACAATATAGTCAGTTCATTTATGTTATAACACGTCGATATTTATTATAATATGACTTTACATACTAGCCGTTTTGAAGAAAATTTTCTTATGACTCGCATCGTTAGCATTATATATTGATTCACTTACGTTATACTCTAAATCATTACAACACGTAAATTGACTCACATTTCGAGTAATGCAACTCATATTCCAAGTAATGCAACATTGTCGATGTATGCTCAAAGCACAAAGTAGTATATCGCATGTTATAATTTTTCAGATACACTAAAAAAAAAACCTCTCCATAATATTACGCACTAATACAATAATTAGCATCTTTCTTTGTCTCATTCATTATTAAGCCTCATACACAATACAACACACACAAGACAAATGGGTGGTGAATCCAATATGATGTTTTCACCATTTCTCACTTGTTTTCGGAACTCTCGGCGACACTGTCATTGATCTCATAAGCCAAAACATTCAAGCAACCACCCTATTGCTCTCTCTCTCTCTCTCTCTCTCTCTCTCTCTCTCTCTCTCTATATATATATATCCACATACAAACCCCCTTAGTCAGGTGCTAATAACAAATTAACACTAACTAAACACAAAAATTGTTAGTACAAACAGTTTTTCCATAGCCAAGTTGGTCTAATTGGCAAAAAATTCATTCCCCTCCATGGCCACCACTGTAGAGGAACGTTCTCTTCCTACCTTCCCGACAATCGACCGCTGCCCGTCAATTGGTCGCGAAAAACATACCGTGATGGCGGACATGGACGGCACTTTGCTTAGAGGACGGAGCTCATTCCCTTACTTTGCCCTCGTCGCCTTCGAGGTCGGCGGCATACTAAGGCTTCTCTTTTTACTACTGGCGTCTCCACTCATTGGCCTTCTATACTACTTTGTATCGGAGTCAGCCGGCATTCGTGTCATGGTTTTTGCCACCTTCGCCGGCATGAGAGTTTCCGACATCGAATCCGTGGCGCGTGCGGTCCTCCCCAAGTTCTATTCAGCGGACTTGCACTCTGAGACGTGGAGAGTCTTCTCTTCATGTGGGAAACGCTGCGTTTTGACCGCGAACCCCAGAATCATGGTGGAGCCGTTTTTGAAGGAGTTTTTGGGTGCTGACCTGGTTCTGGGGACTGAGATCGACACCTACAGAGGCAGAGCCACTGGGTGGGTTCTCAATCCTGGAGTTTTGGTCGGTGAAGCCAAGGCCAACGCGCTTACCAAAGCGTTTGGCAATGAGCCCTCGTCAGCACCAGATATCGGGCTCGGTGATCGGCAAACGGATTACCCATTCATGAAGCTATGCAAAGAGAGCTACGTGGTTCCTGCTACGCCGGAAGTCGAGGCGGTGAGCCACGACAAGTTGCCAAAACCGATAGTGTTTCACGACGGAAGGCTGGCTCAGAAGCCATCGCCGCTCATGGCTTTGCTCATAGTTCTTTGGATCCCGGTCGGTTTTCTTTTGGCTTGCTTGCGAGTAGCAGCCGGCTCCCTGCTTCCTATGCACGTCGTATACTACGCTTTTTGGGCGTTGGGCGTACGGGTGTATATCAAAGGGACCCCACCACCTCCCGCCAAGAAATCCACAGGCCAAACCGGAGTTCTTTTCATTTGCTCCCACCGCACTCTCCTCGACCCGATTTTTCTCTCGACCGCTCTAGGCCGGCCCATTCCGGCCGTGACCTACTCTCTCTCGCGCCTCTCGGAGCTCATCTCGCCAATTAAAACCGTCCGGCTCACCCGGGACCGGGTCAAGGACGCGAACCAGATTAAAGAGCTTTTGGAACAAGGCGACCTCGTCATATGCCCCGAGGGAACAACGTGCCGGGAACCATTTTTGCTCCGGTTTTCAGCCCTGTTCGCTGAGCTGACAGACGAGCTCGTCCCCGTAGCCATGTCAAACCGGATGAGCATGTTCCACGGGACGACGGCTCGAGGATGGAAGGGGATGGACCCGTTCTACTTCTTCATGAACCCTAGCCCGGCCTACGAAGTGACGTTTTTGAACAAGCTGCCTTACGAGCTGACTTGTGGTGCCGGGAAGTCGAGCCATGACGTGGCGAATTACATACAGAGGAACATCGCTGCGAGCTTGTCGTACGAGTGCACCACCTTCACGCGGAAGGACAAGTACCGGGCTTTGGCGGGGAACGACGGCATCGTGGCGGAAAAGTCCAAGCGCGCGGCTGCAGCTAAGAAAATTATGGGCTGCTAGCCATAATTAGTGTGTGTTTTTTATTTTTGTTCCTTCTCATAAATTTAATCGCAGATAATCACATGCATATAACAACTTATGCATGGTAATTGGTTAAAATACATTTAGTAGTTTAAATTAAATGTATTTGTTCTTCCTTTGCTTTGTACTTTCGCCTACCTTTGATAAGGATAATGCTATTCACACATCTCCTTCAACCCCTCATATTCTTGTGTTAATCTTTGTTAATTGACTTTTTTTCAATTCATTAGATTCGACGGCCAAAATTTAAAAGGGTGTGTGAGAGGTAAAAATGTACATGTGGATAGTCCAATCCTTTTGATAATACCAAAGGCAAATTGGCTCGTTAATATGAGACATTTTTCAGTGTGATGGGAACACAACATAGTATACTAAGGGTGTGTTTGTTGCACTGAACTATCTCGGACTGGACTAGTTTCAGGGACTAAGTTGGACTGGCTTAGACTAGACTAAACTGGACTAGCTTAGTGAAGCGTTTGGTGCAGTATCGGACTAAACTACAGACTAATTATTTTTTATTATTATTTATTTACTTTTGCGTTCAAAAACAACAAAACAACAAATATTAAAATATTATTTGTAGTTATTTAACTTCTAAAAACCTAATTAATGTTTCATGTGCTGCCTTTACTTTTATTTTAGAAGAACAACCTTTATTTTTTGAAGAACAGACCGATATTTTCAAAGCAAATCCTTTATGCTTCTTCATTCCTCTCCACCTCCTGCCTTGTGCCTCTTCACTTCCTCTCACAAAATCGGTTGCAAATCTAAAAGTCAAAACACATAGCAAGAAAGAGATTGAAGGAGGCGAGGTGCATGTGTGATTGGCTCGAAGGTAGAAGATGAGGGTTGGATTTGGTTTGGGTTTTCTGGGTGAAATTTTCAAGCTCATCCCACTGCAAATTCTTTTTTGGTTTTCTGGGTTATCTGGATTCGAATTTTGGGAGTTGGATCTGGTTCTGAAAAGGGAACCTTGGGAAATTTTGTTGCTTTTTTGTTTCGGATTTGGCAGGATCTGGGTTTGAAATGGGTTGTGGGACGCGAGGAAGAGGTAGATGGGAGGACGAAGCGGGTAGGAGTGAAGCAGGAAGTCACTCTCTCACGATTTTCTCTGGGCTTACGAGTCCGCCCGAAATTGGGGATCCTCGTTAAGACCTCGTAAGGAGGTGTATAATCTGAGCGAGTCCCACCTAAGGTCATTAAACCTAATCCTGCAGCAGACCAAACAAGGGACTATAGTCCAGTCCAGTCCAGTCCTCCTTAATCCTATCAAACAAACGGGCCCTAAGTGTAATAATATAAATAGTGAAATTTGAAGAAAAAAATTACAACTAATTATAATATTACACTTAATATATTGGACAATGTTCTTAGTACACTAAAAAATTTCTAGTTAATATCAATATTTGCGGCTGAGCATGTTTCATGCAAAACAATAAAGTTTGTGAACTTATTTATAGTAGTAGCAAAATGTAAATTCCCACAAGATTCCCAGGCCCAATATTTAACACTGTTACACAATGCAAGCCTAGATCGTTTTGGGGGCGTTTGTTTGCCCTCACTAAAGTGTACTGGACTGGACAGGACTAAGGGTTAGTCCAGTCCCATATTTGTTCCCGATAGGAACTAGGTTTAATGAGACTAAGTCTCACTCCCCTAGACTAAATAAGGGACTAGCTAGTCTTAGTGAGAACTCTTGAAAACCATGGAACTAGCTAAGATTGTCCCCTCTCTCCCTCTCTCTCCTCCTCGCCCTGCTCCTTGACCACTCACCCTCGAAAACCATTGGACTATCACAACCAATTTTCATATAAAAATACCAAATTGAAGATGGGAGTAAGGGGATTACGATTCTACCTAAATCGAGACCAAAAGGTAGTCGGAGGTGGCCGAAAAATGGCCTGGAAGTCTCGGCCGATTTGGGTTTTTTCGAATCTATGACAGATTCAAGCATGCAAAGCTTGGATCTGGGACCAAAGATGGGGAAGAGTTTGTTAGTGGTGCAAACCTCATCTAATCCGACGAGGTTTAGTTGGAAAACTCCTTGAGAAACTTGCAACTCATCGAAAAAAAATGGAGTTGTGAGGGTTTCATTCGACTAGCGCAGAGCTAGAAAGAGAGAGAGAGAGAGAGAGGGAGGGGAGAGAGATACAGACTGAAATCGAGAAGGAGGGAGGAGAGAGAGGCTGGAATCGAGAGGTTTAATCTAGGGAGGAAAAGATTGGATTGGAAAAGGGAGAAAAAGAGGGATAGAATGCGACGGCAAGGGAGGAATACAGGGGTAAAAAAAAAGGATGAAAATAAAATATTAATAATTATGGATTAAATAATATAATATTAGAGTTTGTTAATTATCCTGCTTGTTAGTCCGACACTGCATCAAACGCTTCATTAAGTTAGTCCAACTTCGTTTAGTCTAAGTCAGTCCAACTTAGTCCCTGAAGCTAGTGCAGTCTAAGATAGTCTGGTGCAACAAACGCACCCTTTAAGTTATACAACGAACGGAATCGAGAGTTGGACATTGGTCAATTTTTTTGAGGTAAATTACATTTTACTCCATCAGGTCAATTTCAATTCCTTACAACATCTTTATAACATTTCAATTTCATACATTTACTTTCATTTTATTTCAATTTCATACAATCGTTAGATTTTCCGTCAATTTCTCCGTTATATGCCTATGTGGCTGTAATAGGCCCCACAAAATTTATGCCAGGTGGACAAAAAATAAATAAAATAATTTTTAATTATAAAATGTCCCACCCTCTCGTCTTCGTCTCCAAAACTGACCCCTTATTTTCCAACAACCGTCTTCCTCGAACTACCACCTCCGTCTTCTTCCCTGAACCAACACCTTGTCTTCTTCCCCATTACTTGTATTGAAAAGACTTTTAGCCTTGATTTTTTTGCTCCAGCAAACCCCCATCAAAACAAAAAATTTCCAAAATCTCTATCTCACCAACGTCTTCAAATCCATCAAATAACCTTAAAAATTCAAAACAAAAGAAACCCATAAGCAAAGATCTTTTTGTCACATCAGACCGAGATTTCTGGGTTCAATCTGCCAACGAGACTTTTTACTCTTCCCCTAGAGAAAAACCATAAAGACTAAGAACCCAACTGCAATTCATCCATGAAAACATATGATATATGTCCAGGTTAGTTTCCTTTTACTTTTTTGGTTTTGTTTTTTTTGGATGAGAATCTAACAAAAGGCGAGGAAGAAAATAATGTGGAACTGGGTTGAAGATTCGAGAACAAATGCGGTGGTTGCAAGGCGGTGGGCTCTTTCAATTTAGAAGATTTCTCGTGCGCTTTTTCGCTGGAAATCATGGCTCGAACAAAACCCAGACCTCAATATAAAAAATAAAAAAAAAGACCGAATTAATCGCGAAGGAGGAAGATGAATCTTTTGATTTTGAAGAAAGGAGAAAGAGAGAAAGATGAATCTTTTGATTTTGAAGAAGGGAGAAGGAGATGTGTAAACTAAAGATAATAGGAAGTAAACCTAGGATAATGGTTTTACTGGCAAAGAGGTAATCGCAGCGGTCGTTCATCTTCCCCTCGAGGTTGTACACTGTCGATTTGACATCCTTGGAGACTTTGAGCGGCCAGAGGCAATTGGCGAAGAGGAGGGTGCATTGATCGGTGTCAGTCTCGGAGAAGATGTTGGAAAATCAATTGCGTCGTTGAGGCATTTTAAGGTGTAGACGAGCTTGACGAGGGTGGAATTGAGGGCACAGTGGATTCACCCTCCTCGAGCTGCTGAAAGATGTAGATCCAAGAGTCCTGGGTTCAGAGGAAGAACCCACGGTGGCTGAACCCCCCATCACTTTTACGAGACATGCCCCCTGTTTACCCTGGGTTCTAACTTCTAAGGTTTTTTGTTTTTTTTTTAAGGATAAATTATTATAATATTTCAAATGCATAAAAAATATTATTTTTACCACGTGGCACAAATTTGACAGCCACGTCAGCACAAATATGAATCTCATATTTGTCACGTCATCACGTAACGGTTTACTTAACAGATTTTCAAACGGATGTATGAAATTGAAATAAATGAAAGCAAATGTATGAAATTAAAATGTTTTAAAGATGTTGTAAGGAGTTGAAATTGATCCAAACCTGAGGGGATAAAATGTAATTTACCCTTTTTTTTGTAAGTATAATTAAGAATTTGGGATGAACGGGAAGTCGATTCAGTTACAGTGCCTAACTACGCCTAACTCATGACTTACAAAAAAATGTTGGTTGATGAAGACAATAGAACAATAGCTACAAAAACAAACAAAATCTATCATTGTAACAACTGACCTGACGAATCAAGTAGTTACTAACCTGAAAAACGGATGGCACTAAACTGCACCATCTATACCCGGTTTACATGATAAGTTTTAGACCCATGAGGGCCATGACGAGTAGGAGAACGCAACATTGCTGCAAAACAAGAGTTTGATCCAACACCTCACTAATCCACTTAATGTGATAGCTTCCCAATTAAACAGCTCTATCAAAAAATTTCTCTAACTGACGAAACAAAAAGTAATCAAAAGGGTTACCAACGTAATCCCTTGAAGAACAAAGTCAATCCACCAAAAAATTGAGAGAAATCCCAAAGGGTTGATATTAACTGATGATTGAATGATTACATTTGTTACATCATGATGAGTTAAATAAAAGATTACAACTGCTTGGAACAACTAAAAGAAATCTAGGGATTAAACAACATTAATTAAACATTAATTGGATGGAAACTGAAGGGTCTAGTATTTATTATGAAACTTCACACTATTTTTGGGCTTAAAATGATTTCGGATCACCAAAATTCATCATATATTCGTGGCGTTATTCCCTTTGTGAAAATATATCACGGGTCTAAATTAGAACTCAGACACTAACTCTATATATTCTCACAGCATCCTTTTATTTTCCAACGATCTATTCTATCATTTCTCTACCCCACCAACCCTTGGTATTTGTTTTTCGTTTTTTGGACTGACCTTTTGGATTTTGTATACCCTACGCGCCTCAACATTCCAAAATAGCTAAAAAATCGAATTAATTAATTAACTTTTAGCAAGAAAATTAATTAATTTGCAAACCAACCCACCGTTTTAGTACTTTTACCGCCATAAAACCCCAAGGAAGGGCCAACGTCTTCCTTCTTCGTCTCCCTCCGATTCTGTAACATTTCTTACACACCTTCACCAAAACCCTGGATTTTCTCATGGATCTTCGATGCTTTCTCGCACTTTCTCTCTTTTTTCTCTGCATTTTCCCTCACCTCGCCCATTCCCGAACTCGCATCCCAGTATTGCTCGAGCAGAAGAAAACGTATTTCTCCGTCTCTTTCTCTCTCTACGTATTTTTTGATCTACATTTTTGTGGAATTAAAATTTTTTTTGTTTGGAAATTGTGTGAATTTTCAGGGAGGGATCGGTGATCAGATTGAGAAGAGGAGCTTCATCTGCTACCTTCGATCCGACTCGTGTCAGTCAGCTCTCATGGCGTCCCAGGTTTGTTTTTCTCAATTGCATCTCCAATAATTTCTGCTGAATTTCTCTTTTTATTATTGTTTCATTAATTTTAATTTTTTTTTAAATTCCCGTGTGATCAACAATCTACAGGGCGTTTTTGCATAAGGGTTTTCTTTCTGAGGAGGAATGTGATCATCTAATTGAAATTGTAAATGATTTTCTTCCCTATATTTTCATTGAATTTTGTTTTTAGTCCATCTGAAATTCACTTATTAGAGTCTTTAATCAGTAACAATTTGGTTTTAATTTTGAATTTGGTTTGGTTTGTGTGAATTTCGCGAGGTAGGCGAAGGATAAGCTAGAAAAGTCTATGGTGGCCGATAACGAGTCTGGCCAGAGTATGGAGAGTGAAGTCCGGACGAGCTCCGGCATGTTCCTTCTGAAAGCACAGGTTTGTTCCTCTGCTTTCTTAAATGAATGGTTTGAATTTGTTCGATGATTTTGATCTACTTCATTAATGTCGTAATGGAATCAGTCTAACGCGTTGTGATTCCATTTTTTTGTCACTTCATATTATCCATTATTCGTTTGAAGGTCTGCGGACATAGCTTAGAAATAGAAGATGTTGATGAGTTTGACAATCTGTAGTGCATCTTACTATGTTACACATTTATGTATACTGTTCGTGGTAGATTCAACAACTCATAGTAGTCCTTTCGTGTAGTTCTGGACCTACTAGTTCGGTACAATTGTTAATTTCCTTTGGTGTTATCCAAGTTGTGGAATTATAACTGAAAAGCCGAACATTCTTTGGGTTATTAAGTATGGTTTTTCCACTGTGTTTGATGGGCAATTGAATCTAGTGTGCGGAAATGGTCAAGATGATCATCTTCTTCTAATTTACATAAACTCAAGTTTGTTGTTCGTCGTATAAAAAATGTGTGAGTGGGATTATTGATCAAACCTTCATATCAACGTATCTGTTTCGGAAAGTAGAGAAGTTTCTGTTTATGCTTAGTTGTTAAGTAAAGATCCTTCTTACTATGCTCTGAGATCCAAACCCATTATTCACCTTTTGGCATGTTGCATGATAGATACATTCCCAAGTGTGCATATATTTTCTATTTATTTTCTGACTTTCGAACTCAGAAGGCTTACTTGGTGTTCTTTGTTTCACCTTAAAGGATGAAATAGTTGCTAACATTGAGGCCAGGATTGCTGCATGGACCTTTCTTCCAGTTGGTAATTTCTCGTGCGCATTTGATTTATAGCTTATTGGACTACTGAGAAAGTGTCTTTTTTCATCTTTATTGAACTTCCTTTTCCTTTCTAATCAGAAAATGGGGAGTCCATTCAGATACTGCACTATGAACATGGTCAAAAGTACGAACCACATTTCGATTATTTTCAAGACAAGACTAACCAAGAATTGGGTGGCCACCGTGTTGCCACTGTATTGATGTATCTCTCTAATGTTGAAAAGGGTGGGGAAACAGTCTTTCCCAATTCGGAGGTAATTGGTTACTTGCAAGGCTGAATTCTCGTCCTCTTTTTTCCTTACCTTTTGAATTTCATTCATCTTCTTATGTGTTGACAGGGAAAACTGTCTCAACCTAAGGATGATGACATGTCTGATTGTGCTAAAGATGGCTATTCAGGTATCACGTTATGATATGGTCACGTAAACTAAATGTATTTGAAACTTGCTGTTTAGTTCTCTTTTAACTAATTCACAAGCGGGTATGTCCTGTGTACAGTGCAGGAGGGGGTAGTGAATTGTAGTTTGAAATTCATAGACACATCGTATTTGCTGTTTTATTTGTGTTGTATTCATTTATTTACTATGTCTATGTATCCTTGCAGTGAAACCGTACAAGGGTGATGCCTTGCTGTTCTTCAGTCTCCACCCCAATGCAACAACCGATCCAAGCAGCTTGCACGGGAGTTGCCCTGTCATTGCAGGTGAGAAATGGTCTGCAACGAAGTGGATTCATGTGAGATCCTTCGAGAAGTCACTAATAAAGCGTGCAACTGGGGGGGTTTGTTCAGACGAGAATGATAACTGCCCCCTGTGGGCTAAAGCGGGAGAATGCAAAAAGAACCCAACTTATATGATAGGCACGGAGGGACTTCTTGGATACTGTAGGAAGAGTTGCAAGGCGTGTTCGTCCTAAGGGAGGTCAATATTTACACAGAGCGGTTAAATGCTAAGTTGTATATAACATGGAGCTCTGCCATAGTGAGATATATGTTTGGAGCTGCTGTGCCCAGATCCAAATTTTAGAAACATTGTTCATTGTTGCACAGTTTACTATTACAAATATGAAAGGTTATTCGTTGAAGCATCATGAGCTCTTTACATCCTATGAATGTGTTGAATGACTAAATTTGCTAACAGACTACACCACGAGGGTTTAAAATCCTAATTTTTGTTACCAAGCGGCCTTAGATTTATTGTGCTTGTGCCTTAACCAAATAATTCATCCAATTTGAACCAGCTGAGAGAGAGAGAGAGAGAGAGAGAGAGAGAGAGCATAGGTTTGTGATGTCATGTTAAACCGTTAGTTTTCTGAGAGATGAAAATTATCATGCAATTCTGGTTAATTGAGAGCCTATTAGCATGCATTCCTTGCCCTCTTCTCTTTGCCAATTTCTTTCCTCTTTTTAAATAACACTTGCAAAGCTTAGAACTTGCATCACCATTACATAATTATACTCTCTCACCTCTCTCTCTCTCTCTCTCTCTCTCTCACAATGGGAAGGCCGCCTTGCTGCGATAAATCGAATGTGAAACGAGGACTCTGGACTGCCGCGGAAGATGCAAAAATTCTTGCATATGTATCGAAACATGGTGTCGGAAATTGGACATTGGTTCCTAAAAAAGCAGGTTCAGTTTTATGCTTAACTTATTTAATTGCTAACCGAAGTGCCTGTTTGATAACTATTTCCTTAGTTTGTCCGATGTTTAAAGATTATGTGTTTGCATGGTTTGTCTGCAGGACTCAACAGATGCGGGAAGAGTTGCAGGCTTAGGTGGACTAATTACCTGAGGCCTGACCTCAAGCATGACAACTTCACTCCTCAAGAGGAAGAGCATATCATTAACCTTCACAAGGCCATCGGAAGCAGGTGGAGTTGATTTCTTTGTTTACTTTTCTCCTTTTCATATGAGTGTTGTTGTCAATACCACAAGCAAATACAACCGTTTACAAACTTTTAGCCAAAAAATCGAATTGATGGACACAAACAAACAGTGAGCCGTACATAAATTGAGGTTTAGTGTCCCTTTAATGTATATTTAATATCAATCCATTTAAATTTTTTATGAAAAATTTGTAACCGCTTTTATGTGCACATATTTCCTTAGAAAAATTAACCAAAAGATGTCTCTTTTAAGTAGATAAAATTAAAATGCCAAGAGATTAATCAAGATTGACATGAGAATAGTAAGATTCAAAGATCTGATTTGGCCTTAATGAATGGATTTCAAACACTCTCTCTAACTCTAAGCCCAATGACATGTTTACTTGCTTAAAATGAGAATCGAAATTATTCTGATTTCCGACTTTTTCATATCTACAAGCAAATAAATATTGGAATTATTCACATTAGTAACTTCCTATGTGTTTACTAACAAATGCAATACTGTTTTTATGCAATGCAGGTGGTCTCACATTGCAAAGCAACTACCAGGAAGAACAGACAATGACGTCAAAAACTACTGGAACACCAAGCTCAAAAAGAAGCTTTCCAAAATGGGAATCGACCCTGTCACCCACAAACCCTACTCCCAGATCCTCTCCGACTACGGAAACATCAGCGGCCTCCCAACCGCTGCCGGAAATCAATTCTCGTACTTCTTTAAGCTCTCGAATAGGGCATTCGCACCCGAACCAGAGCCTTCTTCCGGCATAACAGGAATCCCATATACCCGTGTGATGATGAACCCTAATATTAATGGACAGGGATCAGAGCACAATTCCTGTGATAGCACACTTTCACTTGGCTTTTTGGCTCATCGGTTTCAAGAGAGTGTGCAAATTGAGCAGCCACACTTTTTAAATGAAATAACCTCCTCTTGCTCCTCATCATCCTCTCCTCGTGCCACAGATCATCAATTAATTTCGCAACCAACTTACGCGTGCCGGGAATCACAGGAGGCTCAGGTTACGCCGTCTTCTTCTTCGTTTAACTGGAGTGAGTTTCTTCTGCAAGATCCTTTTGCATCAGCTGATCCTTTGAAGCAAGAACAAGATTTGCACGACGTGGTGATGTCATCTTTAGAAAACCCTAAACTTGGAGTGCAAGGCAACTCTGATGCAATTGAGGGATGTGATTTTGGAGGTCAGAGGAGCAATGGCTTGCTTGATCAGCAAGCTTCTTCGTCTTCCATGAGTTCGTTTGTGGAGACTATCTTGGATCAAGACAGTGAGATGCAGGCAGCTTTTCCTCAACTTTTGGATGCTTCTTTCGATTATTAATTAGTAGTTAAACTTTTTTTTTTTTGATAAGACGATATCCTATAAACTATGATAACTTACATCTGCATTAATGAAGTTAATTTCTTGTCTCAGTTTTATTATGTTACGTTAATTACGTAATGAAATTATCTATATTACTTTTCACTTGCCACCAAGGATCAGATCACAATAATCCATATGAAATTATTTAAGGTTGAGGGAGAGAAAAAACTACTTTCCTTTGTCATCATTTTAAAGTAATTTTCTACAATTAACCATATTTGACGAGAGATTATTGGATAGTATTAGAATATGATCACGTTTTAATATGGGTGGATTATTGTGATATTTTAACCTAAGGCATAAACTCGTCATTCACTCATTATAACGTGAACTAACAAGTTACCAAAACAAGGAGAGATGATAGTCATAAAATGAACGACTTTTTAGTTACTCGTTAAAAAATTCTTGTGTAATATTGAAATGTGGACAGTATTTGAAATTTCTTTGATACTAGAAAAATATGGAAAGGAGGGGGTTTGAATTTTAGACTTTATCCCATATCGGAGAAACTTTTAAATTTTAGCTAAAATTGACATATTTTATCGATATTTTTGACATATCAATTAAATATCCGAGAAACTTTTGTATTTCGTCTAAACTAGTGTTGACATTTCCTAAAGTTTCATTTGAAATTTCCATATTTTTTTTAGCAAATTTCCATCATTTCTATCGAGGACAACCAATATCGATATCAATATATCCTTCGATATTTTCGTAAATTTGCATATCGATATTTCCATCGATACCAATATTTTAAATTCTAAATGTTGTACGCATCATAGTAATGTAATTGCATCCAGAATACCATAACCACTTAAAAACCACTATTTGATATTTCCAAGTCACTTAATGAAAACTCCTCTCGCTCTCGAATAAAATTGTGGCTGAAATTACGGGTAAGTGGCCACAAACTCAAAACAAGAAACTGTTTTGTTAGTTAGGAAAAGGAAAGCCTTTTAATACCATCCTCCTCCCAGTCAAGGAAGGGACCGAAACAAGACGGACGAGCACAAAGCAAGACGGAGACAGAGACAGAAAGTATCGATCAATGACTGCGTTGCAGAGATCGGCGACTTCATTCCGAAGGCAGGGCTCCTCCGGCCTCATTTGGGAGGATAAGATTCAAGTCCTCGAAAAAAGGCCAACTCTGAAGGTCACTATTTCGATTAACAAAGGTGACGGGGAAGAACATCCAAATCCAGACGAAGGATTTCGAGAAAGAAAGGATGCCGATTCACATTCCTCACTAGATTCATCTTTACGTTCTAAGCCTGAACAAAATGTTCATAAATGTTCTTTGTCTACCGTTTTCGGGCGATGTATGAGGCCACCTGCAGCGTAGTTGGACCTTCGTTTCATAAGTACCTCACGACGGTAGATTTGAATGAAATCTATATTTCGTACTTTCTTACCATGAACATCTGGAAAGATGAAATTATCGATCATCAGCACGCAGATAAAAGAACCAGCTTCAAGATACAATCAGTGGATTTAAATGGAGGGGAGGGAATGAGACCTGTAGATGCAGCAAGAGGAGGAGAGGTGAAGATGCTGGCTCTTGCTCCGATTTATAGCCAAACCCGTTGCTGCCAAGAAGCTGCATACAGAAGCAAGCATACTGGACACGGAAGTATGAATAAAATTTTATGTTCTCTTTATTTCACTCTTCATGCTGAAACTGTACATTCAAAATTCTATATACATACAAATTGAAGATGCTCAAAACTAAGATTTTGAGACTCGATATGTTCTCGGATTAGTTAACTTGTTTTTCTGTTATTTATCGATTTGAAAAACTCGAGTATTGTGTTGGGATTACAGAAACTTTTGATTCAGAACCCCCGGTAATGATTTATTATTGTAGTCAACTTCGTTCAACCGTATGCAGCATAACAAATGCTCCGGCAAGTCTTCTGCTTTGTTCCCCTATTTGAAATTCACAATGCATAGCACAGATTAGGCGTCGATCTTAAGTATGAGGTAAATACGCCACGCTCAGATTTATGAAATATATTGTTTACCTGAATTGTGAGACCAAAATCCAATATCGTCAGCTTCATTCTTTCGTGAAATGCTTCAATACCTTTTCTCGAGATGTAGCTGAATCTATGCATATCCAAATCAATCTCGAAGTAGTTTTCTCCCTGTATGAATATGATTGGAGGGAAAGAAAGGTTAAATGGATATGGTGCGTTTTCTGATAATTATGCAGGTGGAGAATTGAAACCAAAACTTACCAAGAAAAATTCATGCTGAGGACGTGAAAGAACAGGTTTTTCATTGTAAGCATTCATTAGCTTCTTCTCGGCTGTGCTTAAATGAAGATCCTCCAAATTTGCCACTCGGCCCAAAATTTTCAATCTTTCCCTGAAGGGTGCAATTGTATCGACAGGGAATCCTCTAACTCTCTCCACTTCATCATTGATTAATCTCTGTCAAGAAATTAACCAAGGAGACAATAATTAATTAGCTATACATACTAAATCAACCTAATGAGCAAGTCACGAGTCTGCCATGCGATGCAGCATATTTTCAAGAAAACCAAACTTCGTAACTTTATTTCTACATGTTGAAAATCAGGAACGGCCACAGCTAGAGTTTCAAGCAGCTTACAGTGATACTTTCACGGAAATGAGGAGGAAGCTCCTTCGAATAAGTTTCAGAAATCTTATAATACATAACCAAGTTCATTCCTTCTCCATCACCATCGCCTATGAAAAAATTGGCTGGATAAAGTGGTATCTGTAGCATAGAAGATTCACATAGAATTTGAGGAAAAATTACAAAGAGCGTTTAGCATAAGAAGAAAAACTATTCCCAAACATGGAGGACAAACAGATTATGAACATACCAACAGGTTTAGCGGAAACAAAATAAGATGTAAAAAGTTCAGGAAAATAAGTTTGTGAAGGAATAGGCACCTGAACGTTTACAACAAGAATAGAAGGGACATCTCCGGTGGTACTCACAACCGGAAGTTTCACAAATCGAGCAATGTGATCAATCTTTTTCTGAGATACGAAAACATCAGCGGCAAAAGGATAAAATGCAGCACAATTCGGAGCAATTTCTTTCTTCTTATCCCTGTCAAGCAAATGAAGAGTTGATACAAACACAAATCAGACAGATTATTCCGAGAGAAAAAAAGAAAGAGATCAATTCTATTGAAAGTACTAAGCTCTCACCTAAGATAATTTTTACCCCGGACTTTGAAAGTGTTTGGCTCGAGAGGTGACCAACAATCTGGCATTCTCTTCTCAATGGGACAGTACGGAATTGTAGAACCGGCTAGTGGTCTTGTCGCAAGCGATCTCGGTGAAACTAACACAAACAGGGAAGATTAAGATCAGCTGCGAGTCCACATTGTTAAGTTGCATCATAATACTAACAAATGGGAAAGTCCATGGGCAACACTCACGTAATGTGGGGGTGTGATCAACTGCAACTGCAGCTGCAGCAGAATGCCCTTCCCTCCATTTAAACGAAAGGACTTTCCTCCTCAAACTTGGCGTCGCCGTGGTTATTCTTTTGTCGCCCGACAGGCTATTGGAAGGACGACAAGGCAAGCAAGAATTTTGAAGAATCCCACAGTGATCCAGTCCCTGCATTCTGTCCCCTCCGCCATTTTCGTCCACGCTCTCCTCCGCAGACACAGCGGATGTGGAATGCAATGGCGGCGGTTTGTGTGCCTGCCGAGAAAGACCTCTCGGTGACAAAACACTCAACGCACTTTCCGACTCGTTTAATGACATCACATCTGCATATTAAATCAAACCAACCCAGTTCTTAACTACTACTCTCGCCTAAACTCGCTTAACTTCGCTGGCATATTGCTAAACAATTATTTGAATTTTTAAAAAAAAAAATACTGAAATTGAGAAATGAAAATACCATCATAAACACTGTAAAAATCGTCATCTCGCTCCGACTCGATCGCCGAAATTGCATCAAAAAACGCCCCATCCATACTTCCTGCTGGTCAGAACTCATCCAATTAAATTAAATCAAAACAGAAACAAATAAAATAAAAAGTAAACCCGAGCCAATCAAGGAGTAAATTAAACACCTTGGAGTGCAGGAACGGAGCGATCGGAGGACGACGAAACGCGCCGGCGAATGACTCGTCTCTGGCGGCGGCCGCCGCCATTCTTCTTTTTCTTCTTCGAGAATCCGAAACAGCAGTCCTTCGGCCTCGAAACACAAGCTCCCATTTCCCCAAAACTAAATTTTCTCGCTTTCCAATTGGGCAACTTGTGCTTCCACTGCTCGTCCTCCTCCTCTCAGTTCCTGATCGATCGATCAATTAAAACTAATTAAATACTTAATTAATTAATTAATCAAGATTCGAGGCCTCCTCCTCGCTCGCTTGCGACTTCGAAACTGGGCAAAGTTGGAGTCTTTGTGACGCCCGGAGAAATGTCAATTATGCGGAACGCAAAAGTGACTAATTTTTAATTATAAATTGGATTTTAATTTTGGCAACAGTCGGGCTCGGGTAGTTGCTGGGACAGTTCAGTTTCTGTGACGCGCTCTTCCCACCTTCAAAATCGACGGCTGAGATGATGCCGCGTGGCGAGCTGATCGTAATGGGTAGACTCCGTGCTTGCATTGCTTGTATGATGTAGCACGTGTCAGCTTCATGTCGTTTCAGAATCATAACTTCCCTTGTTCAAATAAATAAGTCAATAATTTCGGCGACGTTCTACTTTTAGTATTTGTGGACAGAAATCATCTTTGGATTTCGCTGTCGAGAGTTTAGGAATCAAACAAATTTAAATAACTCAAATTGTTCGATGGTTGTCACTTATTCATTCGTCTGGCGTATCTTACAAAATTCAAAACCTTAGATTTCTCTTTTATACTAACTAAGGATTCAAATTTTCTGATTTTTAAGTTCCAAATATTAAAGTTATCTCTAACCGAAAGAGGATCAAAGGGGGTCAAAAGATCGTAGGCCAAATATAATTTATTATTTTAATTGAATTAATATGGTTACTTAAATTAAACTACTATGTTAAAATAAGATTTTTGAACATATTTTGAGTGCTACTTGTTACCCAATAAATAAACCTCTAGATTTCTTATCTTTATATAATCTCAATAATTTTTTTAATAGGATTTCGAGTGACACGTGTTGCTAACGTGACTCTCAAGATTTCTTATCTTTATGTAATCTCAATAATTTTTCGAATAGGATTTCAAGTGACACTTGTCGCTAAAGTGAGTAACTCTCCAGATTTCTTATCTTTATATGATCTTAATAATTTTTCAGATAGGATTTCGAGTGCCACGTGTCGATATATAATTGGTTGTGCAAATTTTAGATAAGATTCTTATTTATGTGGCACATCTCATCTTCAGCTTCCAATGTTAATAAATTGGCTTGATATTGGAGTAGAATTCACACACCTCCAAATACCTTCACTTGTTTGAGAACTAACCTTAACACTATCTTCTGATACCCATCTATGATCCCTGCAAATGGCTTCATCTTATTTTCAAGTCCAAGCCCCTCATTTCATTGCAGATGTGGCCATTTGAAAATTATTGAAAAAATTAAAGGTAAGATTATTGGAAGAGGTAAGAGAATAGAATGTAAAGAATTGAAATAAATTGAGGTAAGATAATATGAAATGGTGAAAGGTATGTGAGAAATGACGTATGAATGACTTAGGTATTCACAAGAAAAAAATTTAGATTTTTTTCCTATAAATTCGTCAAAAAAAAAAAAATTCAAATCAAATTCCAACGGTAACCTAACGGCAGCATGACGTCTGGTAACCGTTGGGATTCAAATGGGCTGAGCTGGAGGGCTGCTAAAATGTTAAGCTTGACATTCTGACACTGGAGAGTCAGGCTATAGGGCTAGTTGCTCTTGGCCAGCCCTTTGGCCGGTTCTCCCATTTTTGGCAAGGTGGGAACCACGAGCCATTTTGCCCATCCCTCAGTTGGAGACGGTTTTCATGTCAAAACAGACTATTTTTAGTCCTATGGCCCTTTGGTCGAGTCAGTTGGAGATGGCCTAAAGGTCTAGAGAGGATCCAAATTCAATATATGTCAATAATTGTCTCGATTGAACCAATTATTATAGTATACGAAATGTTGTAATTCAAGAAAAATAAGCTTAAGCCTGTATTCCTCTAACAAAATTAACACTTAGTTGAGTTACAAATGACGCTTTATTGCAATCTCAAAAAGTAAAAATATTTATGCATTCTGGTGCAAGTTCGGTTTCCACCAATTTTTCTGATAATATTTAATAATTTAATTTAATCTATTGACGTTATTGTTTGGAAAAAAAAAAACACACACACACACGTAATTGAGTTGCTATAGGCCCAGCTCAATAGCCCACATGTAGACCCAGCTCGTATTCAGCCCAAGAGAATAAAGGATGCTTGTTTCTGATAACTTGAGAGACGAAGTGAGGAGCTCTCACTCTACAGTCCACGGCTTGAGGTGGAGCTCAGACAGAGCGGCAATGGCGGTTTCATCTCCTCCGATTCTCTCCCCATTCCGAATGAATGTAACAGCTACGGAATTTGGCTCGCCCTCTACCACTCCTCTCATCAATTTCTGCAACAATCGACGACAATCGCCCGTCGTCGTCCTCGCTTCCAGTAAACCTCATCTTTTTTATCCGACTCAGTTCATCTGATCGAAGTTTCGTCCTTTTTCTTAGAAATTTGAACCTTTTAGTTGTGTTAATGGCAGAATCGGAGAAGGAATCGTGGAGCGAGGCCAAGAGAGTGTTGATGGAGCAGTACGGTTTCAACCCCGACGAGGCCTTATCTCCTGAGCCCTCTCCAAACGTACCTCTCTCTCTTCCGTTAATCTGTTTGATTATTATTGGTGATATATATATATATATATATATATGTGTGTGTGTGTGTGTGTGTGTGTGTGTTTACGTTTGGAAATTGGAACGTTAGGGGAAGAGGAAGAAAAAGTTAAAAGAGTCTGGACGGGACGTTCAAATTAGACCAAAGGAGCCAAAGGCCCCGCGAACTACCCATAAGTTGCTTACTGTATGCAATTTCTCCAAATTTTGTGTCTTTTTCTTACAATTTTTAATGCAAGTTAAGAACACGTTTAGCTGCTACTTGTTGATTAGCGAAATGGCGGTATACAATAACATGTTTGTCAGTTGGAAATAGTGAAATACCGATTTATTAAGATTTCTCGAGGCTAAGGTTGCAGCCAATGTAGGTGCTTGGAGGAAAGGCTCGGAGAATGAAGTTGCCATCTCCAAAGGGTATGGATGTGCGCCCAATGATGGAGGTCGTGAAAGGTGCAGCCTCCTGCAGGTAAGTAAGTCTTTTGTCCACGACACGTGCTTGTAAATTTGACATTGTGCTTGTAAATTAATATTTGTGCCAAAAATCTTAGGCTGCTGGGGGTTGTCCTACATCTTTAAGGCCTGGCCATTGGTTAGACTTGTACAGTGGTACTGGATCGGTTGGAATTGAAGCTCTTAGTCGAGGATGCTCTGAGGTACCATTGATAAATTAGTTCATATCTCTTGCTACTACAAAAATCTTGAATTTTTGTATAATAGTTTTATGTATGTACTTTGGCTATCAACTCATAGCTGAAGTGCTGAACCTACAGCAGTTTAAAGTAGTCGTCTAATTTGAAGTGAAGTTGGGTTTTAATGTGGAATCTCCAACAAAAAGTTTTGTAAAATGCATTTTTTTTCTGTTTTTGTTGTACTTTGTAGCGTGTTTCTCTCATCTCTTTGGGTCAAGGAACATACATCTTTATGGATTTCCTACCTTTTACAATTGCCAATTCCAGGTACATTTTGTTGAGATGGATCCATGGGTCGTTTCAGATGTTTTACGTCCAGATTTGGAATGGACTGGGTTTCTTGATGTGTCAGTTATACATACTGTTCGTGTTGAAAAATTCATGGAACGTGCACAGAAACTTGCAGGTATGAGTTAATACTCTCTCTTTCTCTCTCTCTCTCTCTCTGTAACATAGACAAAGGATGAGTGCTGATTAGAAGAGACTTCATTGTGCAAAAACATTGTCATAATCTTATATTCGTTGTGGTCATATTTCTTACAACATATGCACCATATTTCATTTTCTTTTTATATCCAATCATTAAAATAAAATTCAATTTCCTGCAGGTAAAGAACCATTTGATTACATTAGTGTTACCCCTCCATATATGGAAGTTGACTATGCAGTACTGATGGATCAGATATCAAGTTTGGACCTAGTTGGAGAAGATACCTTTATAGTAAGTTGTGATTTTCTATTTTTGTTATTGCTTATGTTTTTGCCAGTTCTTCATTAATCTTCCAAATTCACGGTCTAGTTAGTTGAGTACCCACTAAGGACTGACATGCTGGATTCATGTGGATGCCTTGTGAAGGTAATGCAAACTATCAGCAGTTTTACTATTGATAAAGCATTATGAAATGTGAGATCATGATAGCTATCCTGACCACATAACTATAGAATGTTTGGGATGGGTTTTTACTTGCTAATCTCTTTCATATGAAACTGCAGATAACTGGTCGACGGTTTGGCAGGACACACTTGGCTATTTATGGACCCAAGTGGGCCCAGAAGAAGAAGAAGAAAGAAAAGTCACTTTGAGGAGCAGCAGTAGAAGTTTGACAGAAGTCTATCTATGGGAGGGGGCGCATGGAAACTGAAATCTGAAACTATGATGATTTTTTAGATAATGCAGTTGCACATTCTCTAATGCTATGTCGAGACACAATGAACTAGTTACTTTGAGTCATGCTGCATCAGCTTTAATGAACTTGCATGGTAAATTGCTGTTTCATGTGCAGTATATATGAGTTGTGTTTTCCACATGGTCCCATAGATGTAACATATTATATATATGTCCATATTGTTACATCTCTCTGATTTTTGGAAATTGGACCTATATATTGCAGCTGCAGGTTAGGGACTTCGCTGATAAATTAGAGTTTCCTGGACGATCAACAAATGTTAAAAGATGAGTTAAACTTTTTTATGTTAAAGCTGAGTTTTGTCGAGAATGTAAGAAATCTGAAACTAATTTTGTATATATTTCTTTCATTGGAAATTTAACTGTGTAGGTGTATTCCTAAGTATTTATCTTCTCCCATATCTGAGTTGCTCAAATTATTAGGTCTTATAGCCAACTTATCATTTGGTTTTGCTTCAAATAATAACTGTGTAGGTGAATGCAAGATGTATGTATTTGTGTTCTACATAGCCTATCTACTTATACTATCGTCTTATGATTCCCAAAATGTTTGTTGATTTGTATCAAAACATTTCCTTTAGAATTTCTTTAAAAATTGGTATCCTCTATTTTCTTTTGAATCCTTGCTGATATGATGTTGGCATTATTTTATTCATATTGGTGTGTGGTCTTACTCCATTCAAGGCTGGCAATGGAGGTCCAGAAGAGCGCATAGCATCTTAGTATAAAATTGGTTGACCCCACTAAGTGATTTATGCTTCTAAGATCTAAGGTGAAGCAAATACTTTTGACTGAATCTCTTGATTTTACTGGCCCCTTGAAAGCACATTATATGTTCACCTAATAGAGGTGGCAGTATCTAAAAGTACAAATTTCATAAAGAGAGGTGAATTTTGATCAAATGACGAATGGTGGCCCTTAATAAATACTTTGAGTTTTGTAATTGCAAGTTTGATTTTCTGTTTCTCTGAAAGCACAAAGAAGTTGCGTATGGAGTGGGGGAAAACTAGTAGAATTCAATAAGGCTTTATATCAGACATGTAGGGTACACTTGTTTTGGACAGAATACTAACTTTGAACTAGGTTCATGCCTTCATTGGGGGATGAGGTTTGGATTTATTGCGACTTGTTAATCTCATTTGTATGTCAGATTGATTAGTTCACTCAGACTCACATGGATATCACAAAAAACTAACATTTTCTGACTGGATATATTTGCAGAATTGAATAGACAAATGTCTCAAATTCAAGTCAAGATCAGTATTTAAATAATATCGGATAGGTACCTTTCTGGTAGCATTTCTTTATCTGTCACTTAATAATCGTCTCTCGGGCAAGCTTTTGTACACATCAGTTTCTGTAAGTAGTGACCATGGATAAAGTTCAATCATGTGGTATCATCGTCAGATTTCGTAAAACACCACTAGTTTTTTTTTTTTCAGGTTTCAATGTTTCTGATTCCTCAATTAACTGTCACTCTCAGGTTGTATTCTTAAAATGCTAGGGTTGTTGCTGACATTGATGAGTCTGATGGGAAATTCCCTATTATACCCTTCTCCTTGTTATGATTAATAAGAAAGTAGATTTTGGAAATGTACTTAAGAAAGTAGATTTTGGAAATGTACTTGTGTGTTTGCCTCTCCAGTTTGTATCTTTGTTATGTATTACTGAATTTAGTAGGGTAATTATGTGCTCACATATCTTTAATTCAACTCTTATTACTCTACAGGCTTTTAAATTTTGCACATCCGCATGCATATGAATAAAACTAGTTCAGACTGTTACGAGATCATCCTTACTTGAAGACGCTTGAGAAGTAGGTAGAGTAAGCTTTTGTGATACATTGTATATCATATATTCATTTGACTGACTGATGTCGAGTAGTGTTGCAACTGACTAGGGGACAGAAAAACCTTATGGTCCTGTAATGAATTGATTGCATCAAAGTAATTACATAATTGTAGCTTAATTGATAGTTCTAAAGCATTTACCCTCATTTTAGTGGGACTTTTAAATTCTGTTTGGAAATTTCACCTCATTTTGAGGGCATATTTGGAAAATTATGCCTAGGCGACTAAGACAGGTACATTATCGAGTCCAAAATACATTGATCTGAAGCTTAGTGCCAATCCAATTTGGTATTGTTTTGTTTGAATGAAACGTAGCATATGAACTTTCTTTTTCTTATTAATTATTACTTTATTACAGACAACCATGTGTCGAGATCCTTACTAAGCAAGAAAACTCTCAACCGTAGCCAAAGTTTTAGCTTGACACCTTTCTGTTGATTAATATTATTATCATTGATATCATTTGGTTTCTGTTGTTTGGGTGAAGAATGTGGGTGAGGCCTTTTAAATAATGTGAGATTAGTTTAATTCAGTTAAGAAGTCAGGGGTTAGCTTGTACTCTGGAGCCAAGTATGCATCATAGGTGGGGAGGGAGGAGTTTGTCTGCAGCTACCATATAGGGTAGCTGACTCAAACTGTAGGACCAGCGTGTGGTTGGGTGGGACCAAATACAGGGGGACCCGACTCTGTTGTGGGGAGGGTTGGACAGGTTACGTGGTCCAGCAATCGGATCCAAGATTTTTCCGGTAGAGGGGAACAAGCACACCAGTAAGTAGGGGGTTCCAACTTCCTCAGTCCCGATTGTATATAATGGGGTAGCTCTAGGCTCTATGTCTTTTAGAAACTTGGGAGTACATAAGGATTAGGAGGATAGTGAGCCCCAATTAGCTGCATGACACAAACTAAAGCAGAGAAAGAGGGTTCAAATGGACCCATTCAACACAGAAAAGGGTTAGAATAACGAACTTTTCTGTTCATTATTCTCCGCTTATTCTCTCTCTCTCTCTCTCTCTCTCTCTTCACTCACACTCATAGATACACATCTCATACAGCGCCTTCTTGTATGAGCCTTTAAATAGAACCAACAACTCTACCCGCCAAGTTACAACCTAATCATTTGTTCTATTCTGTTCTCCTTTTTGTTCTCTCTCTCTCTCTCTCTCTCTCCCTCTCTCTGTGTTTCCATTTGTGCTTGCTTGTCTGAGAGTTCATCTTTGTCCTCTCGCCACAAGCATTGGTCTTTTGGTACATTCTTTATCTTGGTTAGAAATGACTGGCCATCAGGTGTGGTCAGAAAGCCAGTAGGTAAAACTTAAAGTCGGAGGGGGCTAAGGGGAGACATATACATGGAGAGTCGCAGGAAGGTTTTAAGAGCTCTGTTTGGAGCTCTTCTGCTTCTGGTTGTCTTCTTGTTTTTCCTTGCTGGAATACTTGTAAACCGCAGTGCCCAAAAAAAACCAACCGTTACAGTTTCATCCACTAAAATCTTCAAGCATTGGAAGTTGATTGGAAGGGAGAAGCATGCTGTTGTCTGGGACTCCACCTTTATCTACGTGAGCAAAAGAAGAGTGCCAAATGGACCTGATCCCATTCATAACAGGTACTTTCATTTTCCCTCGTCAATTTGTACTAGTATATTTCTCTCTCGCACAATAATGTCTGCTGCATGCTTAAAGCTGCTTAAATACGAGGGAAGGGGACATGCATACTGAGACTGAGGAGAGAGATTTCCCTATACCCCGGGATGCCACTGTGGCGTCCCAGATCAATAATACAATGCTGTGTGGGGAATTTAAAACTCATGGCATTGTATCATTGGTCCAGGAAACTAAAATGGCATCCTGGGGTGTAGGTAAGTCCTTCAGTAGACAAAGATCCAAAAGAAAGAAAACCAATATAAGGAAAAGCCAGATCACATCAATTGGAAAGAGAATATATTGTTTCCATAAATTACGTTTCATATGAGACGTGACGGTGAACTTTATTAACCGGCTTTGATATCAACACTGAGCAAAAGAAATTGATATATTTATTATATATGTTAAATGGAAGGAACTTATATTTCAGATTATATATGGAAATTGATGATTATCTCCATCTTTATCAAAAGCTTCTTTATATACCAAGCTTTCTCTTATTTTTATAAGGAACACATAAAGGCCTTGGAGAAAGAAGAAGACAACTTTTGTTGTGGGACGGAACATAAAGAACTAGCTTCTCCTTTTTCTTTTACTAATTTTGTTAATTTATTTAAAATGTTCATCCGCTCTTTTTTCCCGTAAGAATTCAAGATTAATCGGGATATTAATTGTAATCTTAAGTATGACAGAAGACCATGGAGCCCCCAAATTGTTTGCCTCTCATATTTTAGTGCTTTCCTCTTTGTGTATACAGGAGAGCAGAGAAGACTAGACAACCACCTACATGAGCCTAGGCGTGCAGAGTTTTGAAGCATCAGAACTCGAGCACGAGGCATGTACAATAAGTTAATTATATATCTGCATTCTGCATTTTATTTATCCTTCAGTTAATTATCGTTTTCCCTGCCCGGTAGGAATTAGGACTTGTGGAGTGATTAGTTACTAGATTTTTTAGGAGAAAGATAAGCTTAAGCTCACTAGTTTGATCGATTTCCAAGTTCCGAGCATTGTTGCAGACTCACTGTAGAGTTGTTCATGGGCATGGAAAGAAGCCAACGCTTATCTCAAACCAAATATACACGTTCAAGAATCTTGAGAAAGATAAGAACTTTTGAATGTATCTCGATTATGTTTGCTTAAAATGTTTTGGAGACAAGTTAATGGAGTGGATTTCACTTTTGTATTGAAAAAACCAAGTAGATATACTCTAGTACCACCCGATGTGAGAATTAGCCTAGTCAGATAGCTCTATTGAAGTCTTGGCCCCCTTGCATGATATATACTGATGTCACTCGAAATATGCACTCACGTGATGATGTGACTATCTCTCTCGTCATGTGATCCCACACGAGACATATTGGAGTGGATTGGGGCTCGTAACTTGCGTGACTCATTCGTCATTCATCTCTTTGCTTTCTAATAGTTAGGCCCTCTTAAAGCGGCTTTTGTTGTTTGTGTTTCCCACGTAAAGCAATTCCCTTCCACTAAAGGTTCCCATTAGGTTCCCATTTCTTTTTCTTTTTTTTCTTTTTTTTTTTTAAATTTATGTTTGAAAAGAAAGATGTTGAACGCACGGGGCGTGAGCTTGTTTAAGGGCGTTCACTGCTGCACCTGATATCTAGGCTTGCAATCGAATCCCTTCCTTTAATGCGTATTTTCTCCCAAAAAACAAGGAAGGTCCACCAAACGTAAATGAAAAAAAGAAAAAAAAAAAAAAGGAATTTAGAAAAGAAAAGGAAAAAAAAGAGAAAGTGCTTTGAATATGCGAAGTGAAAACGAAGGAGCTTAAAAATGTGGTGTTTGCTTTTACTTTTGCTTCCTTTTGTGGTTTGATTTTGATTGATTCGAGAGGGCAGGGGAGGACTGGGTCCAAAAGTGACCGAGTGAGATTCAAAATTACGGTCCTTTTCTTTGTCGCATGGGAGACAGACTCCTCTCCCCTCCCTTCGAGAAAATTTTCAGTGTACCGAAAATACGATCGAATGCATCAACTGACATAGTACAAGTGGTTAAAATTTTTTTTTTCTTTAAGTATTCAATCACTGATATTATGACACTTGATATACTATGCCATGTTTCTTGCACACTAAAAATTCTCTCGCTTCCGTGCAGTGCATTTCCCTACGCTGTGCGTTAAAAAATCAAGGCAGTAAAAAGATTAGATTTTTCCCTTCAAATTATTCCAACCAAATTACTTTATCACTAGCTTAAGATATCGGTTTTGATATCAATAATTAATTACGAAATTCGGGTCACTAATCATACTTAAAAGCAATGCTAGAACAATCACACTACTTTTTTTTTTTTTTGAACAATATTATCTACACTAAAGGGGAGGGGTGGACTTAGCCTTACAAGGAGCTAAGCAATAATGTGATTCAAACTCGTCTTTGGTGAGAATCAAACCGAAGACCTCTCACTTACAAGTGAAGAGGAATACCACTAGACCGTAGTACTAAGTAGCAAAACAATCACACTACTTAAACACACAAAATTGACGGCATTGTTGCCACTCTTCTAAATATAGAGGTGGGCTACGCGGCATTTAGTACCATTGCATGTAGGATCCACCTGTATTAAAGAGTGTCACCAATGTGACCAGTTATGCAAAAGAAATCTTGCATAATTGTAGCTAAATGTGAGTGGTTGGCGGTTCAGTTGTGTCTTATTGGTCGACCAGTTACTCACACCTCGTTGCTATCGCGTAGGATTTGTCCCGCTCTAAATATACCCAAGTGATGCTGTCTAATCCTTTACCTGCTCCATATGTTTTAAGCGGTAAGCTTGTTGTAAGTCCGGGGAAACGAATGACCGATCCACAAGTTCCATCCCTGCTCGGCGAGAAAAACTTGCACGTCCACGGTTGTGCGCAACATGTCCAGTGCAGCCAAGTTTTTCTCCTGCTCGACGCTGATCTACCTAAATAGTTGTTAAACTGAAACCATCAATCTGCAAACCCCATGTTGCTCCGGTACCAGTTGGTATTTATACCGGTATGAAGAACTCGGAAGTGGAAAAGAATAACCGGACAAATTGGAACATCGATATTTCTGTGAAAACCGACATTTTCATGACAGAAAGCACCTCCTAATGAGCAGCTCAAAACAAGTAGAAAGCCTCAGTCTGCATCGAACAGGTCCAGCTTGGTTGTCTGCTCGGTTCTAGCTTAGCGCCTAGGTTGGGCTCAGTTCTATAAGGTGCAGTTCAAGCCTATAAACTATCCACCAGTCTCTTAGCCAACACATAAATGGATCATAAACACGGTTAATTTCTTTACGAGTGAAAGGAAACTGATCCTTGGAAGCAAGACAAAATCTTGTTTAAATCATAAACACAGTTAATACGAAGGGAGGTCGTAAGAAGTTGAACGCAGTAGAATCAGCACGTAACACAAAATCTTGTTTAAATCTGAACAACGGGAAGGTTAAGGTCACGGTAGTCTATGGAGTCTAGCACGATTCAGAAAAGCTTGACATCATGAAAATTTTTCGTCGTGTGAAGCAGTAAAAGTAGCACTTCAAAACAGATTGAGCAGATAGAAGGCAAGGATTTAACTGTTTGCATACAATATATTACACTAGAAGTTCCGTTGTCATCTTTCGTTCCAATTTTCCATGGCGAAGAACTGGAAAGCATATTGTAAATGTCGCTGGATCTCTAACGAAAAAATTTCGTGGGATGCAGGACCTATAGCTTGTTTATTGGATTATACAGCTAACTAATTAAAATCGAGATCACATCGTACGATTAACATATATGAACCTTATAATAAATTACCTCGATATGGAATTCTGCAACCATTTGTCATCTCTCTCCGTTTTATTTGAGTTTAAGCGGAATCCTTATTCCTTATCTGGATTGCGAAAAAGCAATGGAAACTCGTCGTCTTGTTCCCTGAAACTGTGTTCTTTGCTCATACTCTTCAATGCGTGGTAAACCTGGTACATAGACCACCTGTCCTTAGGCCGAGAAATCACACAACTACTAGCAATCTTCAGAAACTGCAAAATTTCCTCGTCATGCCCTTTTCCGATGAGAGCTTTATCGATGGCATCCTTGGTTCGACCAGAACTAGAGAGACGATTCACCCAATCCACTACACTACCCTTGAAACCTTCATCAGCAGTGCTGACTTCGAGAGGCTTTTGCCCAGTTGCCAGCTCCAGAAGCACAATTCCTAGTCCATAAACGTCCCCTTTCAGTGAAGCAACCAGACTACTCGGATACTCTGGAGCTACATAACCGAGTTCTCCCAAGTCACCGTTAACGAAACTGCTCTCCTTAGAATCAGAAGCCGTGAGCGTTGCCAATCCAAAATCCATTATCCTAGCATCAAAATCCTCGTCGAGGAGGATCACATTGGAGCATATGTTCTGATGCATAATCGGAGGTTGGCAACCGTGGTGAAGCCAAGCAAGTCCCCTGGCAGCACCCAAACCGATCCTAAACCTAGTCGACCAATCCAATCCCTCACCACTTAAGTGCAACAACGAATGCAAAGTCCCACTCGACAAGTACTTGTACACCAAAAGCTTCTCCTCCTCCACAATGCAGAACCCCAAAAGGGGGGCCAAATTCGGATGTCTAAGCTGTCCTAACCGGTTCATCTCCAACCGAAACTGCTTCTCACCAAGCTTACAAGCACTAAGCCGCTTAATGGCCAGCGCCGACCCATCAGGCAGCAGAGCCTTGTAAGTTGTCCCTGTCCTGGTCGAAATGATCACATTTTCCGGGCTAAAATTATTGGTAGCCGCCATCAAATCCGCCAACTTAACCTTCACAAGTGGCTTCTGAAACAAGGAAACCTGAGTAAGCTTATGAGCCCTCAACCTCTCAACCCAATCCTCCCTCCCAACACCATAACCTCCCGTCCTCCACCGCTTACTCAGCCTCAAATGGTACCACCACCACAGCCCCAAAAAAGCCAGCAAAGACGCCGCCGCGCCAAAAATTCCGGCAGCAATTATAATAGTAACACTCTTCTTGCTGAGACCACCACACTTCGACCCAAGCGGCCCGCCGCAAAGCCCGCTGTTCCCGGCAAAATCCGCCTTATCAAACCCGTCGAAAAACGAAGGGATAGACCCCTTCAACTTATTATTCGCCACTGAAAACGTCTTAAGCCTACCCAAGCTAGAAAATTCATAGGGAATCGGACCCGAAAGCTTGTTATCCGAAAGGATCAGAATGTTCAGATACTCACAGTGCTGCAGGTCCGGCGGGATCGCGCCGGAAAAGTCGTTCCCAGACAAATCGAGGGTCACCAAAAACGGCAACCAATCGCAAATATTCGGGGGAATCGGCCCGGAAATCTCGTTCCCGCCGAGATCCAGCTTCGTGAGGCTGGCGCAGTACTCGATATCCCTCGGGACCTCGCCGGTGATCTCCATGTCTCGGAGCTCCAGACTAAAGATCCGATTCTCCCGATCGTTCCAGCAGGTGACGCCGACGAAATCGCAGATGAATCCGACGGTGTGGTTCTTGAAATCCCAAGACGCCAGGTTTCCGAGCGGGTCATTCAGCGACTGCTTCAGCCCCTGAAGGCACCTCACGTCGTCTTCGACCACGGCGGCGTAAGAGCCGAAATGGGTGCTCATACAGCCCCATAACAGTACCGGAATCCAAATCCTGGCGATGCGGGAATCCATATCCGGGCAATTCAGCAGGAAAAACAAATTGTGGGTTCTTCTTGGTGATGTCTGAAATGCTCAAAGATCCGAACTTTTCAGTCAACTTTGCATGTATGAATTGAATATGATACTTCTTGGTCAAATTTGTTTCATATTATAACTACATGCGCTTATTTATTCGTGTTTTCTACGTTTTCTCTTCTTGCGAGCGAAATGACGAAACCAACCCCCCCCGGGGGGAAATTGTACGACAAGCTTAGACTCATGTGACATTCTCCTATCCATAGAGAGAAACTGGTAAGAGTGGTGTTCTACACTCACTTATTTTTACATTTAACATACTCCTCTTAGTTTTTTCGCCATAGATTGAATGAATTGAAAAAAAAATCAATGAACAAAACTAACTATAATACTACGAGAAATTTGTAAATGACTCATTTTATATAAAATTTATAAATTTTTTCACATGCATTTACAATGCCTATGAATGTCATTTCCAGTCCCTTAATATTTTATAATTTAGCCTTAATTCCTTAAGATTCGAAAAATTCTTGATTCAAACAGTCTAAATGTCATCATAGCATCCAAAATCAATAGTGAAATTTTATACGCAAAAGTTTTGACACATGATGTCGTTATTCTAAGTCATTCCCCTAATGTTAAAACTTAGAAACATTCACAATAGAATAAGGTTGACGTACAAATGTTTGATCTAACCAATTAATTGAGTCAACTAAAGGGAAAATTAGAATACCCTACATTTTTTCTATAGTTGTTAGATTAAATATTCATCCCTTTTAAAGATTTGATTAAGGTGCTTAATCAATTGCCACCTCAATAATTTTCTTTTTATTTAATTTCCATGTCATTAATTTAAATGTATTTATATAGAGGCATAAATTAGCTTAGGAACTAATTGCCTATAATATAGGAATTTAATTTCGAATCCCCTTCTACGCATTAAATGATATTTTTTATTAAAACAAAAAATTAATTAACTAATTCCTCATTTTCTTATTATCAGTATTTAAAAAAAAAATTATCTTTCTATTAAAAATGTCTCAATAAAAAGTCTTCAATATATATTTTTTTCACGTATAGATATATAAAAAATATACTTAAAGCTTATGGTACATTTAAGAACAAAAGTATCAACTTTTGGTACGTATATATTTCAAATGTACCGAGAAGCCAAATGTACCAAAAATTCAAATGTACCATAAAACCAAATGTACCTATTGTTATGTAACCCTTTTGGTACGTTTAGATTTCAAATGTACAGAGAAACCAAATGTACTAAAATTTCAAATGTACCATAAAACCAAATGTGCCCATTGTCAGATAACCATTTTAGTACGTTTAGATTCCAAATGTACCAAAAGACCAAATGAACAAAAAATCCTAAATGTACTACAAAACCAAATGTCTCTATTAGATAACCCTTTTTGGTACATTTACATTCCAAATGCACCGATAAATACAAAAAATCAAATCCACTATAAAACTAAATGTGTCCATATTATAGGTAACTAGACGTAACTATATAATCAAACAAATCTTTATTATGTGTTGGGTCTTCTAAATAATAAAATCTGACAATTTTTTTATAAATATTCTACTATATTCACAAAAAAGTAAAAAATATAACAGACAATAAAAAAATTGCATAGAGATGGATAATAAATGCATAAATATAGGGATAAAAGGGAAAAAAAAATGAAATGTCTAGGAGAAGTTGTGAAAAACTAAAATTCTAAACAAAATTGAATTTATGTGAAAATTTGAAATTAATAACCAAAATTTTAGAAAAATATTTGATCAAATTTTCAAAATAAATGTATGTTTGATCTAAAAAACTCAAAAATGAAGCGTCTATATCAAAACGCTCCTAAACAAAATCGTACTGAAATATGACAGTTGATACAACGAAATTTTATTTTCGGTTAAAGCATTGTAATTCAAATAGAATTGAGGGAGAATTAGGTAAAAGTAGAGAGAGAACGGACTTTCAGTTTCCTAACAGACAGAGGCACACGCAATACAGCTAACTACCGAAAATGGACGACGAGGCGCAGGTGAAATTCCCAACCACCTTCTACCACTACTGGCGGCGCCACTACCATCTCCGCCTCTCCCGCCGCCTCAATTTCAAATCTTTTCATTTCATTTTGTAAAATACGGTGCTGATTTACGTTGTTTTGTTGGTGATGGTGCAGAAAATGGTGGCTCTGAAGAAGGCGTACGCGGAGATAATTCTGAACACGGCGAAAGAGGCGGCGGCGAGAGTAATGGCGTCGGAGCGCAAGGCTCTTCGGTACCAGCACGATCTGCAATTTACGAAAGGTGAAGCGCTTCGCGTGCTTTGCCGCTTAAAGCAAATGCTCGATTCCAAGGTTTGTTTCTTTCTTATTTTTCTTGTCTTTATTTTTTTTTCTGAATTTTGCTTCCTTGAAGTTGAAAGTTCTGTTTTTTTGAACCAGTTTTGATGATCGGATTCTTGTTCTTGGAAAGATTCAATCTTGAATCTTTGTGATTTTTTTTTTTTTTGATGGAATGTGAATGTGTTGGAATTCTGGAGGTTGTAATTGCGATTCGTTTTCGCGAAAGAGGCCATTTTCTGTTCTATTGAACTTAGATGAAGCTTCACTTTCGAAATTGGGTGTTTTTTTGTCTGCTGTAAAAGCAGTTTTCAATTTCTAAAAGCAAGAAAGCTCTTTGTTAATGTTTAAGCATACTGAACTTTGACGAAATGGAAGATAGCAATCAGTGAATCTTTATAAACTAGTTTGGATGGAATGTGACTGTGTTCGATTTGAGAGTAATCGTGATTCGTAGTAGTGAAAGAAGCCATTTTCGGATATTTTGAACTTTGAAGAAGCTTGACATTTGAAGTTGGGATTCTTTGCGTCTTCTGTTAAAGCAATTAAATTTCCCGAAAAGCAAGAAAGCATTTCCCGAACGCTAACTACTTGTTAAGAACGTCAATGTCGTTGTTTAGCAGTAAGCTCTTTGTTCGCTCCTGTGATGTATCCGTTATGCCTTGTCTAAATTTTCAGGTTTCCCCCTTTGTGATGTTTGGTAGTTTATACTGGCATCGTCTGGTGTTGCTTGAAGGTTCTTTAGATTCTCTTTGCAATAACACATGTGCAAATTGAGTGATACAAAGAGTTTTAGTTTGCCTTACGGAATTTCTACTGATCACCACTAATTGTATTTACTATAAGTGTTTTTATATTGGATTAATCAATATTTTAATTGATGCAGACTAGTGACGCAGAGATAACATCTTTGAGCCAACAACGAAAGATTGAAGAGCTTGAAGCGCAGCTCCAAGAGGCGGAGGATATCATAACTGATCTGAGATCAGAATTGAAACAAGTATGGAGTGGATTGGAGAGGCTAAATAACAACCAAGTGAAGCCTTTGGACGAACAAATCACGAGGGAAGATACATCATTTTCTGACAATCCGACAACTCAGCCCATCATACTATCCCCTTCAGGTTCAGGACATGAAACTGTTCCAACTTCAGGCCCAATGAACATCGACGTACATAGAGGTATTGAGCATAAGTTCTTTAATGAAATGAAACGAAGTGAACAGTTAAGTGTTCCTGAATTGGATAAATTTTATGCCCCTGACTCTGACCTTGCCTCAATAATCATGAGACGTAAGGAGCCAGAGCTGCTCAGAAATGGGTGTACACAGAGAATCCGTGCATTTGAAAGAAGCTTAATTGATGAGAAAGTGCTGCCTTCTGAATACGTAGACAATCACAATTCCCCGGGGAAGAATGAGTTGGTCATCAAAGAAATTGACAACGAAGAAAGGTGTAATTCACCCTCTTTTAGCGACAACAGCATGGAAGTAGTTAACCGTTTATCTGTGGGAAAAACCAAAAGTCATGCTAAAGTACGCACATTACGCAGAAGAAAGACTCGATTTGGGAAATCCAAAACTTCACGCCGATGTCATCCTAGTGAGCTCGTGAAATCTCACCAATCAAATTTTGTTCAATCTCATTGCAGAATATATTCTGTGAATGGAAATGATGGATCCCCTAAAGAAGCTTGCATCCTGCCCTCTATCAAGACCGAGAATGTAGCCATGACAAGAACTTCCAGTGGGTTGGAAGAAAGTTTGCAGCATAGTAGCTGCTATTTCATGGACATAGTTAAGAATATTCCGAAGGGAAAAAGAAAAAGGAAAATGAAAAGTAAGGATGGCATTACAACCTCACTCACGAGCACTGATCAGCCGTCTTCTGTTCTTTCCCGCTGCAGGACTTTTGCGTATTTACATCATGGTGGTGTGAAATCTTGGGAAGATCAATCAAACACAACTGAAAATGAGGCTAAGATGAAGCCATTGCCTCGTCTGGATCCTGGGTTGACATTAATTGGAAGTCATGTGGGTCCTATTCCTATATCAGGGTCAGCTAGTGTCAATGTGAGCATGAAGGGGATCAACAGATCTGGAGCTGTCCAAGATGCAGCAGACAAGGACATGGAGTTGATAGATGTGCCTGTGTTGATGACGGACAGTGATGCTATGGAGAATTCAGAGGCTCCGAGTTCTGAACTCAACCTTGGTTCTGCTGATGTATCACTAATGAACTCCGAGTTAAAAACTGTCAAAGTATCATTGATGAATTCTGAATTAATACATGTGAATGCATCATTGATGAAATCTGAATTAAAAGATGCAAGTGCATCATTGATGAGTTCTGAATTAAAAGACGCGAGAGCATCAGAACAATCAAATGGATCTCCTAGTCTTGTGGACAACAGCAGACTTCTCAAGTACACTTTCCAGAGGAAGCGCAAGAATTCCTCAAGAAACCCTGGTGAAACTGCTGCTTTTGAAGAGAACACTGCTAAGAGGAGGACGGAAGAGAAAGAATGTGTTGCACAACAGCCACAAACGACAGATGAATTATCTAGGGACAGCCGGCGACTAGTTCAGGTTGCTCGACAGGTTGGTTGCCAACAATCCTTTTCTCCACTCCTTCAATTTGAATTGAAAACTGAGATAACTTGACCTTGTTTTTCGTAACTGTGAATTGTATTAGCATGCCAAGGGCTAACTGCTAAGGTCACTTTGCACTGTGTTTGGGAAATACTTAGGCTGGGGAGGAAAGTAGCTCAATTAGGCAATCATGAACCACTTACAACTCACACATATTTGTTAAAATTTCATTGAGCACAACAAATAGAGTTAAATATTTTAATGTTTCATTGAAACTCAGGATCTTTAATTGAAATGATCTGAACTATAACAAGATCGCTGAAGATGGGAACTTAACCGCTGTTGTTTCTGCATATTTATGCTTTGATATATGGTTTGTCTGTAAAATCTATATTTTTGGGGACTAGAAGTATCTTATGTAGCCTCTATAACTCTATAATCTATATGCTTATTAAGTTACTGCTGCGGGGTGATTGATCTCTCTAAATCTTTCATTTGTTGGCAGCTCATATCGTTGTCTGGGAAGAGATGGGATTAACAACCCCCGATCAGAGGTAGTTTTCAAAAGAGAGGGGGCAAGAGAGAGATTTATAAATCTGCAGTAATATCCGTTCATTTCTGTTAGTTTTCTACTTTGCATTTGAATGCTAGTTTACAAATCCAATACCGGTGCCAAAGCTAACAGGTGACACATTCAATTCCTGTCAAAACTTACCCTAAGATGTCTTATTTAGTCCTGCGAAGCATATTTTGGTCATGCCGGGCTATATTGCAAGTTGATGCTTAGAATCCTTTGTTTCTCGTTGTCATAGTATAGGAAACTCATGTGAGTTAGGTCAGTTTGGCGAAAGGCAGGTGTGTCCGCCTGCTTGCACCCAAATCAGTCCCTCGTAAATTAGACTAGTTTAGATTTAGAATATCACATTTCAAGACAAAAGATTAATAACCAGTTCATAGCTGTCTAGTTTCTGAAAATTTGGGTTTGATTCTTTTTTATTTTGTTTTGGTCCGCAAAAGGGTGCAATCTGAAGCGATGCAATTTGATTCCAAAGGTCTACCCACAGCATAACAGCTGGTTATTGCATTTCAGTCTGGTTTGGTTCGATTTTAAACCGTGCAATTTTTTTGTCCATACCAAACCATGTTCAGCTCGACCGGTTTGGTTGGCTGGACCATATTAATGTAACTGCTAAGCAAATGAGATTTGTTGAGTCACAAAGGCAAAACAATCCTCCAAAGAACTTGGCAATTGACTAGGTAAAAATACCTAGTGGGAGTTTATGAATTCAAATCCTCTCTTAATTTTTGTGTCCAAAGCTAATGGAGCAAAGAGTTCCGGCCCTCCAAGAGAGAGAGAGGGATTTGGGCCCCTTAAGGACTGCATGATTCAATTGATTAGTTTGAATTTCTTGATCCCTCGGCTTCAGACAGAGATCCGAAAACATTTGAAATCAGAGTTAATGAGGTCATTTTGTCTTGTTGAGAGAGAGAAGGCAATTTGTGTCCTTGTTAATATTTTATTAGAAAAATTAATGAAAATGATTTGAAAACTTTGAGTTTTAACGATAAAGATAAAATAAAAGCTAAAATGACATTGATTAATTTTTTAGTATAAAAATAGAATTTTTTGTTTAAATAAATAATAACGAAAATTTTTTATTAAAGTTTCATATTTTATTAGTAAAGCATATCTCATCTTCCTATGAAAATTTGAAAAAATCCAGAAGCCGAAAAGAACCAAAAGAATGATTGTCTGGTGTTGACAATGACAGCAGCTAATGGTGGTTGTGATGTAATTACGGTGGCATGTGGGGTCGTTTTCTGATGACGAAGCAACAGGCGTGCTTTTTCGACCTTCACGTTCCATAATTTCGTTGCCCCTCCGTTACGCGGCAAGTCCCGCTTTTCCAACTTCCAACTTCGGATTCGAGTAAAAGGGCATGCGCCTTTCCTTACCTTGGTAGGTGATTCCTACCTCCCTTAATTTTTGCGTTTCTCAAAAGGAGGATTCTTTCTCGTTTTATATTTTTTTGCATAATATTTTATAACATTATTACGAAAATTGATGTTGACTATCATGCGACAAAATTTTCTTAACATTTATCTTAAATCTAAATCAAATAATGTATTTTTCTCCATTTCATAAAATCAAGTAGAAGATTGACCTTGATAATCCCAAAAGTAATGACACTTGTTTGGGCTCGAATTAAAGTCAAGCACCGAAAACAAGGAAACAATTTCGAGTTAACACAATATTTTGTCGCATAACCTCACTTATTATATTACAATAAATTACGTAATAGGTGAGACATATATATGTGTGTGTGTGTGTATTCAATTAAATCTAAGGATATCTTCAAAACCAAACATACAATAAATTACGTAATAGGTGAGACATATGTGTGTGTGTGTATTCAATTAAATCTAAGGATATCTTCAAAACCAAACATAAGAAACTTGCATGCTTAAATCTAAAGTAGGAGAAATTGTCAAGACTATGTTTGATAAGGGCCATAAGGCTGCCTGAGTATTATAACACTCATTAAGAATATATTTTTGAGAATTTAAGCCTAGCTAAATTGCCAAAATCAAGAGAAACATTTGAGGGTAATTGAGGATGTCTTCTATCGTACTTACTCCTCTCATGACCAAGTATCACGTAACATGTGAGATAGAATGATGACCATATACTCTGATTACATGCAAGAATATTTCATGAACCAGCTAGAAGGCTAAATCTAAATAGGATAAATCATCATATCATAACAGGAGTAGGATTCTCTCCAATCTAAATCCCCTCTCTTCCCCACCTCATTCCTTATTGTCATATATTTTTTTTTTTTTTTTTTTTTTGTAAAGAAATCAACACAAGATGTTAACGCAACTTAATCGAAAACATCCAAATAAGAGAAAACTGAAAGAGAAGAAAAATAAGAAAAGAGAGAATTCGGATCCTTCAAATGGTTGCGGTGCAGGTTGCTGATGGGAAGAGTGCAGGGACTGCAGGCTTTAGTGAACTTATGTCTAAATGTCTCCCCTCCCCAAGCAAGCTTAAGACATGTCTCTCTGATCATCACAGCTGGACCCTGAAAAGTGAAGCACAAATCCCACAAAATCCGCTCCTTTTCACATGTATAAACTCGACGCACTAAATTTTTTTTTTTCTTTTTAGATAAATCTCATTCCCTTGGTGTATATAAACCAAAGAGATGATATAACAATTTATACATGTAAAATTTGAAACATCTGAAAAAACCAAACACATCGATCACATGGAGAAGTGGAGAGAGAGTGGGAGAGTAAACACAGTTTTGTTCACAGCAGGAGCAGCTGTGGCAATGGCATGTTTAAAACGTGTTATATTAATGGTGTTTCTCATGGAGCAATGGCGGGCGTCGGTTTTCCTTCTGCTCAACCTCGTTCTCCTAGCCATTGTCTTCACCTCCATTTCGTCCGGGACCTCAAACATTGATCGGAATCGAGATTGCGAAAACGACAATGGCGAAGGGATCAAAAGTAACGAAGGAGGAAAGAAGAGAAGAGAATATCGGTGCCAATCTGCTCCTCAAGTGGTTGAAGAAGTTAAGGAATGTGAGGATGAAATGTGCAAGAGCTCAGCGCGCGGCGGCGGTGAGAGCGAGCAAGAGCGGGATGAAGACGATACGGAGGAGGAGGAGGAGGAGGTTCGGAAGCTGTCGGAGGAGGATTTGAATGAGAGAGTGGAAGCTTTCATCGTTATGTTCCGGCAGCATTTGGTTTCCGATGCAAGAAATTGATTGAGGTTTGAAGGGTTTAGGGTTTCTAAAAATCAGCATTTTGATTTTCAAACCTGTAATCTGTTGAAGTTATTGATCTTGGTTCACTCTTTATTTTTTCATTTTCTTGATCAAAAGTTCCACTCTTTTATCTTGATTAAATTCTTGGATTTACAACATTTGGATAGAGATAAATAAATAAAATGTACAATTTGACACTTATTTTTACTTCTCACACACACTTTGTAAATTTATGTCATTTGATTTTCTTTAATTCATTAGATTCGACAGCTGGAAATTAAGAGTGATGTATAAAGTAAAACGAGGTGTATGAATAGTATTCCCGGAACTTTGTTTGTACCTTTTATATTATAACCTTGTAGAGAGATTTGTGTGTATTCTGATGTACATTCTTATTTTTATCTATGTTTTCACGTGATGAAAACGTTTTCTTATGTAAGAGATCACGTGAGAAGAAATATGGATACAAACCCGAGCCCGCCATATGTGGGTAGCAACATTAACAATTAACAAGGTTCTTTTTCCCACCCAAACAATCTTCCAAACACTTGACAAGGTATTCAATACTATGAAATAAGGTGCTAAATTGGGAGGGCAAAATCGTAATTTGATGCTTAATAATTGGACAACGAAGTAAATGGCACCCAATGAGGGAAGGTTGAGGAGTAAGTAAGCATCTCATTATAGTTCCAACAGGATCCTCTCCGATCCTTTTAAGGTGTGTTTGTTTGCCTTCACTAAATCTTTTTGGATTGGATTGGACTAGTTATTAGTCTAATACCGTGTTTGTCACACATAAATAGATTTAATGAGATTAAACCCGATTCGTCCCGACTCAGTCCTTCGTTAGAAGGTCTTAGCGAGACCCCCAATAAGCACAAGATTGCTAAGATCGTTCATTTCCTCGTCCAGTTGTTCTCCTCACTTCTTTCTTTTGGTCTGGTCAACAGACCTCGCCAGACCACCGCACCGACGACAATGGCGACGATCGTCGACGAGATGTACTTGTTTTCGACTCCGCACTTCTTCAACTTCATAAAGGACAAGAGTGAAGCCGAGTCTGCCATAGAAAGATCTTCACTGCTGGCGGCATGGCCATTCACATCGATTGGAGGAGGGGATGAGGGTGGGTCATCAAAGAAGATAGGTTGGATGAGGAGATGATGGTGGGCTTGCGGCTGGAGGTTTGATTCGGAGATGAAGGATCTCAATTACGCAGAGGTTTGATAGATTGATTCGCTTCTTTCCATTTTTTCCACCAATTTTAATTTTAATTTTTTTTATCTTTTTGATTTAGGGGAAATTTGTTGACATTATGGATTTATTGTTTGGTTTGATTGGAATTGGGCATGTAAATCTTTGGTTTTTTATATAGAAAACGTATGGATTGGATTATGAGTTGATTTGCAATTTCTCCTCCTCTGTATTTTTCAATTTAGGATTTGATTGTAGGTTAGTTAGTATATGACGTTGTTGCATGAAATTGTGTTATTATGATTGTATACGGTCCATTTTTCACTGTTTTCATAATCCCTTTTTTAGTCCAGCACAACACCAAACGCTTCACTAAGTTTGTCTAACTTAGTCTATTTTAAGCCAGTCCAACTTAATCCCAGAAGTTAATCCAGTCCGAGATAGTCCGGTGCAACAAACACACCCTTAGTGAGGATCCTAGAGATTCGTATATCGTGTATGTTCATCGTACATCGTGCAATTAGTTTTTATTAGGTACTGTTTGTATTTAACTTTAAATATAAATATTTAAAATAATTTCTGACCGTACGATGTATTGTCACATCCCTGCCTGGGGGGGACCACTTCCCGAGCTCGCTCCACCACCGTAGCACGATATTGTCCGTTTTGGGCCCCGATCACACCCTCACGATTTTGTTTCTGGGAACTCACACGAGAACTTCCCGATGGATCACCCATCCTGGGAATGCTCTCGCGCGCTACTCGCTTAACTTCGGAGTTTCGATGGAACCCGAAGCCAGTGAGCTCCCAAAAGACCTCGTGCTAGGTAGGGATGAGAATATACATATAAGGATCACTCCCCTAGGCGATGTGGAATGTCACAATCCACCCCCCTCAGGGGCCCGACGTCCTCGTCGGCACACACGCGGCTAGGGTTAGGCTCTGATACCAAATTGTCACATCCTTGCCCGGGGGGGACCACTTCCCGGGCTCGCTCCACCACCGTAGCACGATATTGTCCGTTTTGGGCTCCGATCACACCCTCACGGTTTTGTTTCTGGGAACTCACACGAGAACTTCCCAATGGGTCACCCATCTTGGGAATGCTCTCGCGCGCTACTCGCTTAACTTCAGAGTTCCGATAGAACACGAAGCCAGTGAGCTCCCAAAAGGCCTCGTGCTAGGTAGGGATGAGAATATACATATAAGGATCACTCTCCTGGGCGATGTGGGATATCACATGTACGATGAACGAATATGATTCACAGATCTCCAAAACTCTCACAAAGAGGATCCGGATTCATTATAGTTTGAGGTGGAAGGGTATCTGCAAAGACTGGAATCGCATCTACTTCTCCTGCTAGAATGTCTCAAACCCATAAAAACAACTGGAATTTAATTAATTAATACGTCAAAATCCAGCCTTGGAAGAAAAAGAAAAGAAGGGCATCTATTTCGTTCCATGTAATCCAACAAAAAGATATACCTTGTTTTATTATTATTTTTCTTATGAAAAAAGGGAAATGCATTAGATAGAATGACTCAGTTCCGATATAATGAAAGAGATAGGCGCTTTTCGCCATAAGGAGGGCACTGACTGACCCGTCCCAAATATGAAATCATTAAAATGAAATCCTAATGCTGGTAATTATATCCGCCAACAAGATTGCTGCTCTATAAAATAGACCCAAACAATTATAAAATCGAAAGAAAACGTCCATCACTTCATGTCTTCAATAATACTTTTTAGTCGTCAGAAAAAGACACGCGACCTTTTGTATTTGATATGTTTTCAGTATAATAATACTTTGTACTTTGTGTCTGCATTATTGAACCTCCACAAAAAGAAACCCATAAAAAATAAAAAAATCCAATTTTTTATTTTTTTTATTTTTCTTGCAATTGAGGATAAGTTTGGACCAGATAATATACGACCGGCCTAGGTTAAAGACCACCCTAGATGCTAAGTTAGGTGAAAAAAAAAATGAGAGAATTATTATTAGCACTCTACAAATTTTATTCTACATTCCAAATTTTTTATATTAAAAAAATATATATATTTATGAGAAATGTAGAATAAAATTTTTAGAATGCCAATAATACTTTTCAAAAATGAATTGAACAAAATTGAGGCAAGTTCGACACATTCTTCGAAAATTCTTTGATGGATTGGAGGATACGATGCTTAAAATTGTTTAACCGTTTTTTTTTTTTTTTTTTTTATGAAACGATAAATTTTATTAGATTAGATATCAAATAAATTATGATGGAATTCGAATCAATGCCATCATAAATAAATGTTCAACATCTTTCCACTACTATAATAAATAATCATTTACTTTTAATCATTAAACTTTAATTTTTGTATTTTTTTGTTAAAAATTTAAACGATTAAAAGACCTCAAAATTTTTCTCGAACACCATAAAAAATCTTCGTATATATATTTTGTCATGCTATGTACTTCATGTGCTTGCACAATAAATCCAAACGTACAAGTCGCTAGTGTCATAACTACCATGGGCCACATATCCATGCTCCCACATGGACTGATGGTGAGATGATCTTTCATTAATAGTTTTGTTTTGGGCAATTAATCTTTATTAGGGGTTTCGATAACAACTTATCATATATAAACCAGAGTCCTCAAGCTTAATCCATCGCGAGACGCGCTTCTATCAATGTCTTAACACCTATTTACGTACGAGTTTTAGAAATGTCTTAGCTTATCATATTTTCAAAAAGTCACTTATAAATACGTAGTGCAACGATCGATCAGTAATAAAATTTATATACATTCATCAACGACTGACAAACAACCACGCCTAAGTCCAACAAATGATTAATCAAAGACACTATGAATTGGTTCCTTAGGTTCATTCCATTTAATTAAGGAGTCGAGATCCTCTCTTAATCTGTGTCCGAAGCTCAAGGATAAAAAAATCCGGACCGTTGAAGAGAGAGAAAGAGAGATTCGGACTCATGGCTTGTGTGAAGTGGGCCAGCATAATGAGCTAATGAGGATCACACAATTTAAAATGAGTGATCCAGATCTTAGAAATTCTTTAGCTTCAAACATAAAATTCAGAGAGAATCTCAACTCGTAATTAAGGGGCAACAATGTACAAAGAAAGAGATTCTAGCTTGTTGATTGGACTTGGACCACTAGCCTATAACCTGGCTTTAAATTATTTGATTTGGACATGTAATAAACTCGTCACGTAGAAATCCCACAACACCAACGTGACGAGCACCAACCAAACCAACCCTAATAAACCAACCAAATGATAGAATCACTGTGAGGCCAATATCTTCCTTCATTGCCATATTAATCCCCCATTAGTTATCCTAATTCCAACCCACCTTTTACTTCACCCGCACGGTATGTTTTCTCTCCTTTGTTTGCCGCCGGATCTGTATTTTCCCTCGGCTTCTTGTGCTTGTCTGTTTCTACGCTTTCAAATCCTTGCGAATACGGGTTACACGATGATCTTACAGCTAAATCCGCGTTTTGTTTTCGTGTCCAGAGCAATGCGACTTGAAGCCGCCATGGTAGGAGGGGAACAGCTTTCATCTGATCAGCGAGGTGCAGGAACAGCTTGCATGGACAACGAAAGACGGGATAGTTAGGGATGGACGGAGAGAATCATAAATCGAGGAGAAGAAGGTTTACAAAGTGGTTCAAGAGAAAGCATAAGAGAGCTGACCCCTATCAACTGAGTCAAGTTTCAGGTTTTGTTTCTTCTATCTATGCATCTGATATCGACTTCTTGTTTCTTCCACAGCATAAGTTCAATCCGAACTGAAGTTTACTGAACTTTTCTTCAGATGGGGGTAAAGATGAAAGCGGAGATTACTTGGATGATATTCTCTTTCAGTCCGTGGAGATGGATCCACGCACGTCAACTGGCGAGCTGAGGTAATTTTTCGATTTATGGAAGAAACAAAGCAACGAGAAAATGTATGATCTTCATAGTACTCCGTCTGATAACCATTTTCGTTTGTTTTAGAATATTTGTGGGAACTTGGAATGTCGCGGGAAGGTCTCCAGTAGGGAGCTTGGCAGTAGATTTGGATGAGTGGCTGAATCTTAAGGATGATGCGGCAGACATGTATGTTCTCGGGTATGTTACATAAATTTCGAGCTCAACACTACTTATAGTTTCAGGATATCACAAGCTAGAATATCAAAACTAGTATTTTTGCTTGCAGATTTCAGGAGATCGTACCTTTGAAGGCCCGAAATGTGATAGGAGCGGAAGACCCAACCGAAGCAAGAAACTGGAACCTGCTGATAGGAAAAGCTCTCAACAAAAAACTCGGGTGCCCTTGGTTGACGCCCATTGTGAATCCAATTTCAAGTGAGAACTACCACTACGTGCAAGCTTCTGAACCCGAACCTGAAATCACGAGAGAGCAATCAAGAACTGAACATGAAAAGCCAGAGAGTGTGAGTAAGTACAAGCTGATGGCAAGCAAGAAGATGGTTGGAGTCTTCATTACTGTATGGATGAAAAGTGAATTGGTCAAAAAATATAAAATTTCAAATGTTAAAGTTTGTTCCGTGGCCTGCGGCATCATGGGTTATTTGGGAAACAAAGGCTCGGTTTCAGTTAGCATGACGATTGAAGGAACTAGATTTTGCTTCGTTGTAGCCCATCTAGCTTCTGGTGAGAAGAAAGGAGATGAAGGCAGAAGGAATCATCAAGTCACAGAGATTTTCAAGCGAACTTCTTTCCCTCGATCCCCTTCAGACAACGATATTCCTCATCCTCTCACCATCTTAGGACACGAGTAGGTGTTCCTCATCCTAAAACTGACAATGATAGAAGGACAAATTTGACAACTAGTATTTCAAATTTTTTTGCTTTAATATAATTATATTATATACCGAGCAAGATTTGGTGCTCAAAGTAATCGAAATTCGATAATCACCGGAGTAAGTAAAAAATAAACCAGATTTCAAAACCAATAAGGTATCTGGCTGACCCAATTAACTTCATGAGTCAAAATTATCGAAGAATGGAAGAAGTCATCCTTAACAAGGTAATTTTTCTGTTGTGAAACAGTCAGATTTTTTGGTTCGGGGATCTAAACTATAGGCTATACTTGGAGGACAATTCAGCCAGGCAGCTGATAAGGAAACTAGACTGGAGAGCGTTGCAAGAGTTTGATCAGCTTCGTATGGAACGAGAATATGGTGGGGTATTTCAGGGTTGGATGGAGGGAGCTTTAGAATTTGCACCAACCTATAAGTATTCTTCATCAAACTGCAATCGCTATTCAGGTGGGCTTCCAAGCAGATCAGGAGAGAAGCAAAGGACTCCAGCATGGTAAGAACCACCACCATGCTACTAGATGTTTAGCTCTCACAGATAAATGTGGCCACAACACAATAGACCAGCGATAGCTTTACCATAGAGATTCATGAGGACCTACCCTGGACAAGGTTCTAAGAGATAGGCACAGACTAAGTTGTCTACCCCCGATAGGCCTCCCACGAGCCTTGATCTACAAACAGCTTAACTTTCTTTCTTCTGCTACATAAATACTAAAGAGGTAATTTGATTATGGTGGCAGGTGCGATAGAATTATGTGGTATGGAAAAGGAGTGACGCAGCTCTCTTATTTCCGTAGTGAAAGTAAGTTCTCTGACCATCGCCCTGTCTCTGCCCTATTCTCAACACAGGTAGACGTACTGCAATCTACTAATCCAAGAATGGTTTCAATGCATACTATTCTTCCCGTCATACCAACTCTTAAAGAAATAGTAAGTTCTAACAGTGCCAAGTATCAGTACACTATAGTCACGTTCAATTTGAGTTTTATAAGGAGATGAAGCTTTTGTTGTTGAGTAATGAGAATAAATTTACTGATGCAGGTACAGAGAGACCGTGACGAAGAGGCCAGGTCTACATTATTATCAATGATCTTAAAGGATATAGAAGAATCACCAGCAGGAAATGCAAGTTGAATAGAACAAATAGATGACAGCGGTTGCAGCTAGCGTTTAGCAAGTTGTGTTCTTCGATGCATGCTCTCAAATGTTTATAGAAATGAGCTGAAATAATATATGGAAAGGTTTAAAATGCAAATTCAGCAGTACGCAACCTTAACAAAGTCAGAGACAAACTGCGGTCACTGATAAATTGTGTAGGAGTGCCATAGATTTATAGTTCTTCAAGTTCTCATTTGCAGTAAATTACGTGTTAGGTTAAACGAACATATAAAGTGTAGTTATGTGAAGTATATCATTACTTACAAAATGTTAATTTGCCTCACTTGACTGAATCAATCCACCCAGGACCTCCACGTTTTCAAAATGACAACTGGGACAGACACATCTGCTCTGCTTGTTTTCAAAATGACAACGGTAGCACGGATCTGTTCCAATTCTGAAGTCTGCTTGTTTCCCGTCAGAGGCAAAACATATGTAGGTCATGCTCACAAATATGGCATTTAGCGCAAAACTAGACCTTAAAATCCAACATAGCAATTGAATTCTAGACTAACTAAAACAGGCATTCACTTAGGAAGAAAGCTGTCCAAGAAGCTTGTACAAATAGCCGATGTGGATTTCGGTTGCATTCAATTATGGCAGTTTTCAAGACGATGAAAAATTCAAGTAGCCAACTGTTCTTATGATTGTGCTTAAGCATTGAACAATTTCAGCAACCAATGTATTCTTGAAAAGGATATCTTGTCAAATCACGCACTTCATTCGTTGTTTTGAACGTCTCCTCCGTTAAGAACACCTTCCTTTCACAAGCACTCAGCGCCTGCTAGACCTGCAGAGGCAGAAGTGCCATACAATCCAATTACTTAAGCTAAGCTTTTATCAAACTGTAAAGTTATCCATTTGTAATGTTTCAAAGATCGATTTTTTTCACCTGCTTTTGAGTATTCTGTTCAGCTTCGTATTCTTCTTCCGCTTTGGCTGTCTGAGACACCACACCAGCAAGCATATCCTCAAGTTCTCTTAAATCACCTTCAGTAACCTCCTCCTTTCCTAGCTTGGGATCTTCTTCTGAAATAAAAATTGCAATTTCCTTCAGTTTCTACCCACACTACATTATGGGATCATTTTGTTCCAATTGTGAGAGATTTCTTTTGAAGAGTAACGAGAGATGGAGGATTTTAATCCATAACAAAAAGAAAATTCAACAAATGAATTAGAATAAGATGGAACAGCACATGTTACAAGATCAATTCTTCTGGTTAATGGCTAAACGTACACAGGCCATCACCTTCTGCACTTCCACTGTACTCTTCCTCATGAATATGGCCAGCAATTGACTCTTGGAACCTCCTGCATTCACAAATGCGAAAGTCGACTATAATGGGGCACCAGAAATACATCACGCATTCCAAATTATTTGTGAACTTCTGAAGAACTGCAGCTTCGTCGATCAATTCATAAAATGTGAAAACTGATCAAAGCAAAATTCAGTTAACTGTCTGTCAAGATTATAAAAATGCCTCCTCTTCTCCGTTACATGCATAAAATGTAGCATACAAGTACAACATTTTTCTTCTAAAATGATGCTAACCTTATCTTAATGTTGATCTCAATCATTTCACTTATAAACTCGTCTCTGCATAAACAATTACTGAAAGTAATTAATAGGAAAGCAATTAGATTTTCGAAAAGAAATGGAGCTGTGGAATTTAATCAAAAAACAATTGAGATGAAAATTTCATACCGAGAAGCAGCCTGTTTGTTCTTTTGCAAGATCCAAGCACAATAATAACATAATGAGGATCAGTAACCAAACATTTTAGCTAACTAATTATAAGAAACTGAAATTCCAAATACCTTGAGAGCTTCGACTTCAGATCCAACGGCGGAAATCTCTTCTTGTGTATGAGAAATCCTCGACTGAATTTGAAAAATCAGATTAAAACCTAATCACATTAAGAACAAAATCACTCAATTCAAAAAATGCATAAAAATAACGAACAAACCTCCAGCGTTTGAATTGCTGCTTCGTTCATCGCCAATTCAACTTCGTAGCCTTTGATCTCTTGCTCGGTGTATTCCTTGGCGCGCTTCGCTTCTTCGAGCTCTGCATTTGCAACTTCCAGCTCGGATCCGAGCTCGCCGATTCTCTTCCTCAGACTTACCACTCTTCGCTCTGGATTTCTCAAACATTAAAGTTCTTCAGTTCAATTTCTAGCTAAATTTAGTGAAATCAAAGAATCGGAACTCTATTTGCTCGTTTCTCGAGAAAATTGATTTTTCAAATTTTACCTTTCATGTACATTTTCTTGGGAACCAAACAGAGTAGCGAATGCAGAACGGGAAAAGGTGTGTAGGTAAGAACTATACCTCCGTGCGACTTTTCGGATGCGAAATCGTGAATTAAGTTTAGGAGCTGCTTCCGAGCGTCGCTTCCCGCCATGACTTGTGTGCTTCTGTTTCGCGCTTCTTCGTACTCAAACAGTCCCAGATCATCACTCTCAACAGCGATTTTTTTTCTTATGTGCGAGATCGTAAATTCAAATTGGTCTTTCAAAGCCCAAGAGTAGGCCCATTACCCTTTTATTAAAGGGAGTTTTAACGAAACATTTCCGGTACCGTTCACTTTTAACGAAAATGATATTTTTATTCTAAAAAGTCACTCATGGTACTGTTTACTTACAACACTTTTTGTCATTTTAATTAAAACTCAAAGTTTTTAAGCTATTTTCATTAGTTTTTTTTTTATTTAAATTTTGATGGTCAGAACCAAGAAAGGCCCACTACCAGCACTAGGAAAAAGAGTTCGTATTTGACCTTTAATAAAGGTGCATTTGCGAGTTGGATAATGCTATGAGACCGAATTCTTAAATCAAATTTGCAAACCATCTGATGTGTCATCAATAGGAAATATAATCACATTAATCAACACTTAAGTAATAATTCAATCATCAACATCCACATGATTTGATTTGCAAAATTTAGTTTAGAAATTTGGTCTCCCTAGCATTACCCCTTGCGAATTTAAGTGCTTATGTGCGTTTACTCATTTATTCGAGGTTTTATGCTTTGAATGTCCACGAAAGGACCATGTGCGGTAGTGTTTTAGTTATGGACATAATGGGTACATGTGCTTCTAACAAACACCTGGCATACGTTGAGTCTTTAGATGTGCGGTTTTTTTTCTTTTGAAGGAGGATTGGTGCCTTGCACATTGACGAAAAGTTAATCTTGCCTAATACTTGTGTAAAAAAACAAAAAAAAATTAAAAAAATCATCACTTCATCTCTGTATCTACGCGACTAGATTACCACCTATGAGTCCAATATGGAGTGATTAAAAGTTGAGTTGATCTCTGCTTAGTAATGTCATGATAAGCCGACAACAATACCTATATGGTACCGTCCGGTTGCATCCCATTTGGACTGAAATGGAAGGTGACCAAGCCTAAGTGGCGGTAGGAGAGAATCAGCCTTACAATAAAAGTGGTGACACAACACATATATCGCAGTTATGTAACAGTTTTTTTTTTTTTTTTTTTTTTTATATTTTTTTATTTATGTGGTGGGTGGATGGAGGTGAGAGATTGCTGGTTGATTGTTTGATACGGAGAAATAGAGCCAATATGATTCTCTTCGGATTCTTTTGGTAAGGATCTTAAAGATTCATGAATCGTATCCGTTCATCGTATATCATGCGATCAGTTTTTATCAGATACTATTTAAGTTTAATTTTAAATAAAAATATTTAAAATAATTTCTGATTGTACGATATATGATGAATAGATACAATTCACAAATTCCTAAAATCCTTGTAAAGAGAATCTTAGCAAAGATACAGATTCGAAATAGAGAGATGTTCCTGCAGAAAAAGCTGTTGCGAGGTCATGTTGGACGGCCAGCGGATGTCGGCACATAACTGTCATGGTACTATTTTTATCCACTTTTGATGGTTTATACTAACAGGAAGCATATAATTTCAACATCGGAAATGCAAAGGTATTATTGATATATATTTGGACTTCTTGGAGAAGTGGAGATTTCACTATAAATATTAGTAATATGAAAAGTATCATAACTACTTGTAAATATATAAATTTTGAATTTTCAAACTTAATATGTAAATAATACAAATTGAATGATGTGAAACATATGTAGCAGATGAGTTTCACTCATAGAAGTAGTTTAACTATTTATAAGTACATGCAAGGTTTCTTTTTTTTTTCTCAATGTGGGATTCAATCTCTACAATGTTTCCCTCCAAACAAAAAGTATTTTTCCTTTGTGCATGCTTTTTTTTATTCATCTCATATATAAATATATATATATATATTGTTAAAATATCTTACGTCAGGTAGAGATAGAGGAGAGGAAGAGTTAAAATATTTTAACCTCACTTCATCTAATATGGAGATTTTTTGTGATAAAACTCCCACTGGTCAAACTGTGCAGGTGATAATTACAAGTTGAGAACAATATTAGTGTTACTAGGCATTTGGGCCGTCTCTCTAATAATTTGGCAAGTTGAAAATAAAAGGTTTATGGCAAATTCAAAATTGTCTAATAATCTCTTCGACACCTTACCTTCTTTTTTTTTTTCTTAAGGAGTTATTTATAAAATTAAAAGGAGCGGTACTAGGAAATAAATTAAAACAATCATTTGTCCACAAAACAAGGAAATCTAGACCATACCAAATCAAATTATATCAAATCTCTAATTAAATCAAACCATATCAAACCCCTAATTAAAACAAATCTCTAAAATACTTTCTTTTATATTTTTTAGCACTCCCCTTTAAACTCTTGATTTATGAGTTCACTGAGAATAAATCAAATCTAATTTGAAACTTTATAAATTCAACACCTCCTCACACAAGGCCACGTATTAAGTGAGCCACACAGTCACGAAATCTTCACTGATATTTTGAAACAAAATGCCAATCGTTTAGAACGTTCAACAAATCGCAATCCACCTTAACTAAAGTCTCTTTTCGAATGTTCAGCTGGAACTAGCGCCAATCTTTTGAAAAGCCCAACTATAACAAATGCCTCTTTTCAAAAGGGCGACTAACAAATCATATCCTCGGAACTAACGCCTCTTTTCGAAAACTCAACTAAAACTAACACCAAATCTTTTTGAAAGACCAACCAAGCCAAACCAAATCATATCAAATCCCTTAATTAAACCAAATCATATCAAATTTCTAATTAATTTTTTTTTTAAATACTTTCCTTTGTATTTTCCAACATTCCTCCTCAAACTCATGATTTATGAGTTTGCCAAGAAGAAATCAAAATCTAATTTGAAACTTCATAAATTCAACATATGCATGGTCAGTGTGCAAAAATACCACATTTTATTCGGTGGAGGGGAAGAAGATGATCGGTTTTTTTTTTCTCTCTCTTTTTTTTTTTTTTAAGTTTTCATTTATATAAAACAAAATAAAAAATATTTTTTATTACTAAATATTTTAAGATGGTAATATTTAATTATTGTGGGATTTAGTTATGTGTCACGTTAGCACATAACAAAAATTTTAACAAAATTATGATGGAATGACCACATTGATTTGCGACACCAATTTTCAGGAACTACATTAATCGATTTTTAATTTCAGATACCATCTTAATAAAATGAGTCAATTTCAGAGAGACTATTTGTGACTAAAAAAAACCTTATAATTTACTAATTAATTAATTGGATTATTGGTGGAGTGGATGATCATTAACAAAATTATGATCATCAAATGTTTGACAATAATTAATGTCACTTTCAGCCGCTCATCAGTATGACATCAACAATCAAAATTATTAGAGGATTGATAAACCATCTCCCTTTCTCTATCACTCGTGCAAAAACAAGGATCTAGATTCTCCCCCCTTCCATTTTTTCCTCTCCTCTCTTTTCTCTTATTTAAACACTCAAAATTAAGAAACTTATTTTACCTTCTCTGATAAGAGAAAAAAGAAGAAGATAAAATTGAGAGGAGGGAAGAAAATTCAACTCCCAACAACAAGAACAATTTGAGTGAGCTGGGCAATCATGGAAGTAAATGATGACTGGAATTCCAAGTTATCAAAACTTGCATTAGTTGGTTATAACAGGAACCCCAGTAGGGCAAATGGGATTAAAAAAATAGAACTCCAGTTAGGAATTTCAGTTTTCATATTCCTTGATGTGAAGTGTTTGTAATTTGGCTGGCAAATTAAGGTAGATATTTTTTCACGTATTGATTCTCTGGTGAAGTTGAATTTCTAGGGGAATAATTATGACAAAGGCACTTGTTTTCGATTTTATTTTGGTCATGTTAAATTTGTTTACAATAATTACATTTATTTGGTATAATCATCATTTTTAAGAGTCCGATGGTGATTGTATTAATTACGTATATTCACATAAATTATATCTGATAGTTAGATGAAAATTATATTAAGGAGAAATTAGGTTCCCATCTTTCTTTTTGCTACTCCATTAATTAAAATCTTATTCATTTTCAATTTTTTATCAATGTCCTTAAATTTTAATAAACGTCATTAATTATTTCAATAATAAAATATTTTTTATTTCTAAATATATTCATTTCTAATGTTATATTTGGTATGACACACCCCAACCGGAGTCGAGGCATGTTGGCCATCACGTGAGGGTGACGTAGCCACGTGCGCAACAGAAGTGATAATAATAGAAAAACACTTCTAAATAAAAACCAAAACTAAACCTACTTAAACTAGAGATAAAATATAAGCGTGTGAAAGTGATCAAGTATAAGATACACACATATGAGAGCATAGGTAAGCGAAAGTGCAATCGAACCAACTACTAATTATACAAATAGGGAGAAGGTCCCTACTTATTTATGGAGACGTCATAACTGCCGTGAAGTCCTCGTGAGCCACCAAGGATGATCAGCTACCTAGAACCTGGAAGGGTGCAAAACAGAAGGGTGAGTGGGCAAAAACAAAGCATTTGAAAACGTATTTATCTTTTCTGAAAATAATAACCCCTCTCTGTAAAACCCATATAGTTTCCAGAAAATAATACTACATAGGTATGGAAACCAATACACAAGATCAGCGCAAAACTGAAGTATGTCATGTCATAATATCTCAGCAATAATAAATGTAAGCCAGGTGTGAAACCAATATAAAGTCACCTAACGTGACTTGTACGACTAGATTTACAGCTCATTAATCTAGGCTAGCACACGAGTCGGAGTCACCTAACCTGTACGACAGACTGGGTATAAATACTTACGCTCAAGTGCTACAATCATGTGAAGGTTGTGTGATATATCCCAGGTCACCTACGAGTCGAAACCACCTATTATGATCTGTACAACAGGCTGGCACCACACTTGGATCCAAGGTAAGCGTGCGGTGCGGGAGATGAACAATCACTTGAAGGCTGGCCCTAACCCCAGACAGGAGCACTAATACTGGGGTACAACCATAATGAGCTCTCAACAAATGTATGTA